AGAGGCAGGACAACAGCGAATTCGATGATGCTCCAGACCTGGGAATGCATGGCCCAATATCGCACTACCAATGCTACCACCGAACATGAGGAGTTCATATCAAAATTTACAAAGGATGGAGCATCATCGCCGCCAACATTAAGAAAGTAGTTACAAGATCAATCGTCATTTTCTATGAACAACTCACGCTTTAATAGGAGACTGGAAGCAACCATGGCCTACGAGCACGGAGAGCGTAATCTTGCGTCACGGGAGGATGAAGCAATTGCGAGTGCCTTCGATATTGAACCTTTGGATGTGCACCTTGGTCAAATCCTAAATTCTCGAGTGAAAATGACCACGCTTCTTTGACTTTGTATGCATCACCTTGTGAAGTCGGATGCTTGCACCTTAAGCAAACACAAGCCGATGATGTCAAGGATGTTACGAATGAGTGCCACTATAGCCCCGTACTTACTGGGCTGCATCTGATAGGGCTCCACGTGACACTTTCCATGTAGCGGCCTGTCTTCGAACCCAAAACGACTCTATAAGCACTAACATGACCTATAGTAAAGAATTGTGTACGTGAATGTAATTAGAGGTGGAATGATGATAGGTGCGCAATAACCGGGACTTTGTCGACCTCACTTTTGTCAAGGGTATCTACTGAATGGCTATTTCGTGTCATACCCTTTACCTTCAACCCAATTTATAGCAAATAGGCGATATATTTTATTTATAGGTTTAATATGCATCATAATGATAATCAGATATAAAGAATAAAATGAAGCGGATTTATTACTATATTTCACTAATTTTGCTTACTATTTTTGTCAAAGTCCGATATCAACATTGAAGAAGTTTGCCATTAATCACCATGGTGTGTCAACTTATTGATACTTCCCTGGCTTCATTGAGGGAGTTTCACGATTCTATACCGCAAATGCGTTTTTTGCGAGCTCAGCGATATCTCACGATTCTTTCGTTGCAGTCGCTGGCGGCCAGCCTGACCTTCCGGTAACCTCATGCCCCATCAGAATAGTCTGTGCGACCATGAAACAGAACGTAAGCCCGTCGCATGTGCGAGCTTCCCCATGCGTCTACGTCGCACGTCAGGAAAAAGGCCAAGCACCACTCCCCCCAACTGCCATTTTTCACTCCTTCGCGCCTCACTTGCCTCGATCCATCAGGGTTTCGTTGGGTTCGGTTTCAGCCTTCGCTCTAGTCCCCCGCTTATGTCCCTCTCCTTCCCCTCTCCGCTCTGAACAATCCTCACAAGCAACATTCCCCTCACTGCTCACACACCTGTAGCCAGCAGCAAGATAGGAGGTCGGTTGTTAGGTTTTCTGATCCGTTCAGGACGGGGAGGAAGCAGGGAGTTCGTGAACTGAGCTTAAGACAGAACGTTAGTCTGCTTCGCTTGCCTCCCTGCTTGGTAGACAGGGACGCAGGAGGAGTCGAAAATGAGTACAGCGAATAAGTTTATCAAATGCGTTACTGTAGGGGATGGTGCGGTCGGTAAAACGTGCATGCTGATCTCCTACACGAGCAACACCTTTCCTACTGTAAGTCAGCCCAGCTGACCGACGTCTAGCGAGCTGTATTAGTCAACATTTAGCATGCGTACGATTGTTTCCGAAGTCTTAGACATTTTTCTTAGTGGCCGCTCAGCTTGGCGAACATTGAGTCGATTTGTGATGGTTATCGCTGGTGCAGGATTACGTTCCTACCGTCTTTGACAACTTCAGTGCCAATGTGGTGGTGGATGGCCAAACTGTCAACTTGGGACTCTGGGATACAGCAGGTTAGTCACAGTCCCCAGAGATGATTAGGTGCTGCCTCCCTAGCGGCCGTTAGGCCCTTCTTCGTCAGCGACCATTAGGCACTGCTCTTTTCATTCAGGCACCGGCGGAAATTTTGTTGTTATTATTTTGCTTTTTTGTACGGCTGGTTTCCTACACACTTGCATGTTGGATGCTAACTAGTCCGATCTACTGCAACCAGATGTACTCATGACGGTTCGGTGAATTGAATCGCGTCCGTGTTATTCATACTCGACGTTATCCTCTTTGTTTCCCGTGTCAACAGGTCAAGAAGACTATAATAGGCTACGCCCTCTGAGCTACAGAGGTGCTGACGTCTTTCTTCTTGCGTTCTCGCTTATCAGCAAAGCCAGTTATGAGAACGTCTCGAAGAAGGTGGGCCTTTTGTGTTCCGCTCAAAAATTGCAACGCAACCTGCGAGAGATAGTTTCCAGGTTTATGTTGCCTACGCGCCATGCCCCTGTGCTTCCATGGTGGCCGACAAGCCCTGCGGGAAGGAAGTCGGAGATATTTTGTCTTAGCAATGCGGCCGTGTTTTGTTCATTTTTTGCCGTCGTACACTACTACATATGCTCGTGAAGGTACACCATGCTGCCTGCAAACATTGGTTATTGGACCGATCTATTCCGAAGCGCGAACATAGCCGCCCGACATAACCCTATTTCCGATTTCTTCCCTATCGTTTGAGTGTTGAGCAGTGGATACCAGAATTGAGGCATTACGCTGCGACCGTTCCGATTGTCCTCGTCGGCACAAAGCTAGGTCAGCATGTCAAGCTTGATTTGCTCAGCTGATCAGCTAGGGCTGGTAACATTCGTTTTAGCTTCCTTGGCTGTAGTTGGGTCGGAGATGCAGGTTGTTTATATATCCTTTGCCTCACTGGCTGACGTCAACCATTTTTCTTCCCACTTTCATGTTATCCGTTGGGTACAGATTTACGAGATGATTCACAATTTTTCAAAGAGCACCCAGATGCAACGCCGATCAGCACTGCTCAGGTACCGTGGTTCTCTTGCAACCTTCCGCCAGGATTTGCAGGCGACAAATAGTATCATGTCGTTACGCTTGTTTTGTCAAGGGCCCGTTGCTTATTGTTGTTTATCTGATCTGCACCTTCAGGGCGAGGAGCTGAAGAAGGTGATTGGTGCAGCAGCTTACATTGAGTGCAGCTCGAAGACGCAGCAGGTTCGTCAAGGCGATTTTTCCGTCTATAAATATTTATCCCTTCAGCCTCGTTTCGATTTTCTGAGCAGGCCGTTTTTCATTGCCACATTCGTATGGGTTCCTGCCATTTCTTTGTTGATGTCACTTGGTAGTCTGTTTTCAGCACACAAAGGGTTGGTATGAGTAACCTTCAGAGCTGGATTGGATAACTATGAGGAGGGGAACTGGGTCATGAGCTGCCTCACGTCGAGCATGTGCAGACACAAGCTTGAATTTATTGGCATTTCTGCTCTTCGCCATGTTTGGACCTGTTATCATACCCGTGCAGAATGTGAAGGCTGTCTTTGATACGGCAATCAAGGTGGTGTTGCAGCCACCAAAGGCGACGAAGACGAAGAAGAAGAGCGGAAAGTGTGTTATCAGTTAAGCCACAGGGTACCTTGCCACCATGACCATCCATACCTTCTCTTCATCCTTGTTCACTTATTTCATCAGCTGGTGGCCGAGCTATTTTCTGGCTCAGGTGCGCTGCAGGATGGTGGACTAGATATTCTTATGGCCATTCTGAGTTCTCAAGGGGCATGCAGCTGTAGAGGAAGTCATTGCGAACGGGTCGATTGGATTGACAGCGAAATGGTGAGGGAAAACGGTGGAAGGGTAAGCAGACTGTCGTGGGGTTGAGCTGCGAATGAGGGGTGTCAGGTTTTTTTTAGTAAGGTTAAAGGGGGTAGGTTTAGGGATTTTACTTTATTTGTTATTATGGGTCAACTGCAGCATGCTTGTGATGGATCCCATGGGCAGCCTAGCATTGTTTTAGTCGTAAACTGATGACAAGGCCTGCTGTTTTGCACTGTTCCTTGCACTGTAAGCCATGACATTTTGTTTGTTTTTTAGGGCGTGAAACATCCGAGAAAATTTCCAAACCAACGGTAGGGCTCGGAATATTACCGCCCGGAAACGTACTAGAACCTCTTTTATCATCGTTTTTATTAAAAAGACCATTCTAAACCGTTCAAACCGTACGGTTCGTTTGGCATTTTTCTCAAATGTTCCACGCCCTTATGAACCCCGGTATATGCCGTTACAATGTTCCGAAAACCACAGCCTTCGCTTGGCCAGGCCTCAAGGTTCGGGCTGATTGAAACGCTAGCTTTGGCACGCGTCATGTCATGGTACACCCTCTTTCCCGCCATTGTGAATTCGGTTATAATGAAGTCAAGATGGAAAAATCTCGGTTAACACTGGTAAAATTACGTTTCGGTATGGTTCAATCAGGCAAATCAAAGATAACAAGGTTTGCCACCAGTTTGGCACAGTTCAGTGTAGCGAGAAACAGGGTGTAACCACATCGATAGTCTCCAGGCCATTACTGTATTGACTCTCTGGCTGTGGAAAGCCTGACCAGACCCCTTCTGACCAGATATGATGGTTTGTCGGTGAAGCTAGCCAGGCTTGAAAAGCTTCAGCTTGGAGCTGGCTGGTACGTGGAAAGGCATGATACTGTAGTTCAATTTGGCTCTAACTGCTCTGAACTTTTGAGTGAATGCTTTCGTACACAAATCCTACCCAACTGCATTGTACAGTAGTGATCTCTCAGGACACACCACTATGAATTGTGTTGAAGGTTGGTAGTTTAGTCTGACCGAGTTACTATGCGTCTATGCGAAAGCCTATGCGGATCTGCCTGAATTTGTCGATGTGTGGACTCTCACGGTGACGTTTTGTGGAGTTTCCTAGGTTGATGCACTGCTTGTTCCTCTCCTTTGCAGCAGCTGGCCCTTAGTAGCTTTGCGCGAAGACCATGCGATCTCTCCAGCAAGTAGTTGTCGTCCTCCTAGCCGCTCTTCAACTAATCGACCAACAATAGGACAAACCTGTTGACTGCAAAGTGCTACCACGCTAGGCTGATCCTGTAGTCGTCGTCCTCCTAGCCGCTCTTCGACTAATTGACTAACATCAGGACAGACCTGTTGATTGCAAAGTGCTACTACTCTAGGCTGATCCACAGAGAGTGATTCTTAATCCCCGGGTATGACATTACTCGACGTGTCGGCGGAAGCCGTACACGCAGCAACCCCTACGAGTGCGCAGGCAGACGCCGAGGCCGTTCTGCAAAAAGGTTGCGGCGAGTACGGGTGCGTTGACTATCGACTACTATCAATATAGTATTTTTCATTTTCGTTTTCCCCTTTTTCTTTTTCCTCTTTTTTTTGCTTTGTTTTTTCGTGTCCAGTTCCCGGGGTCACGTCCGACCAAATTCAACGAAAATGATTGTATTTCATATTTTCATCAGTGTGCCTTTTTGTTTTATTTCAGATGCTCACACTACCGGAGAAGATGCAAGATCAAGGCTCCGTGTTGTAATGAGGTGTTTGACTGCCGGCACTGCCACAACGATGCCAAGGTGCCGTCCCTGCTGAAACACTGCACAGCCTGCTGTATTCGAGACTGATCTCCTTAGAATGGATAGATTTGATGTCCCGAATCGAATCGTCTCCGTGGATGACGCGACGAGTCGATTCGGTCAGATTTCGCCGTTCTGGCCGGCTATCATGTTACTGATCTGTTTGAATACTTGCGTTTGAGTGTGAGCAGAGTTATTCAGAGGACAAAAGTCGACATGAGATCGCTCGGCACAATATCGAGCGGGTATGTCCGAGCGAGAACTGGGGGAATTTTCATTCATTCTTGCGTTCCCCGACGTGCCTGTTCAATTTTTGTTTTTCCATCCCCATTCGTGGTTTCTGCCCATTTGAACCTTCGTGCTGATCGGAGAGCTTTGTTATCCTGCTGTTTGTGCTCGTATTTCTTGTTGCAGGTAGTTTGTTCCTTGTGTTCGACTGAGCAAAAGGTGAGGTGCATAGATTTTCTCCTATTTCTCACGGACGAATCATGATTTGATTGCGCACGGATGCGTTTCATTCAATTTCAGGTGCTCACGATGCGACGTGTTTCGTGCAAGCCTTCGGTTTCTGAAGCATGGAGGAAGTGTGAACTGAGAGCCGTCTCTGTTCGTCATTTTTACGCTGAAATGTCCCTTTTCTTTGCCATTGTTCACTTTTTTTTTCACCTTGGTTGGTTCCTCAGGTGCAACAAGTATGCGAGGCGTGCGGCGTGTGCATGGGACGGTATTTCTGCTTCAAATGCAAGTTCTATGATGACGAGGTATGTCCAGTGATTCACACCAAGTCATGGTATAGATAGCTCAGCTAACTCGAGCTTTCATCTGCACCCGCTTGGTTTTGTCGTCGATTAAAGTTGGAGAAGCTGCGGTTACTGAAGCTTTGTTATCCTTGTGCAGGTTGCAAAGAAGCATTTTCACTGTGATGAGTGCGGTATCTGCAGAGTTGGTGGCAAGGACAAGTTTTTCCACTGCGACAAGTGCGGTACGTGCAGCTCCAGTTCGGTGATGCAGGTTTTGTGTGCTATGTGCAGTCTGGTGGTAAAGATTTTTTAATCCCACAAGTACGGGTGCATGCAACTTTTGATGCGTATGTCGTCAAGTTGTGTACTTGCTTGGTAATGTTTTGCGAGGTTGCCCCATCCTGTCCTTGAACATTCCCCTCAGCCCATCCTCCTTCTTCCTCTGGAATTGCTGTTGCTCTTACTCACAATCCCATGCGCCGCCTGCCACTACACGGCTGCACTGCGACCTCACGCCTTGCTCTGCCACCACGCGTCTCTCACCCTCCACGCAGGCTGCTGCTATGCCACGTCGTTAAGAGAGGACCACCGCTGTGTGGAGAAATCCATGCATCACAACTGCCCCGTGTGCTTCGAGGTGAGCTGGTGTCAGAAAAGTGTATGCAAGAGAAAAATCTAGGTTTGGATTGCACTGTATGCACCACCAACTGCCCCATGTGGTTCGAGGTGAATTTCTTCTCTTGGAGTCAATTCGAGAGACCTGGGTGCTGCAGGAACGTGGGCATATGCACCGCTGACATGCCCTTGCTGCATGATTGGCAACCTCTTTCCCTCTCCTTAACGTGCTCCTGCTACTATCTCTCTTTAGCGTGTGCTCCTACTGCCTGCCTGCGCCGACTCCCCTGGCAGTTTCTTTTTGAGTCGCTTCGGGAGACGTCGGTGCTGAGGGAGTGTGGGCATACAATCCATACAGAGTGCCTGGACGAGCTGAGGAAACACAACAGGTTAGTGAGGATGTGAGCGAGGGGGGGGCGCAACTTAGTAGGATGGGAAGGGAGAAAGGGTTTGGCGAGGCTATGGGTGTCATCCTTGCTATTGTTGAGTTTTCTGTGTGTGTGTGTGCGTGCGTGCGTGTGTGTGTTTGCGCGTGTGTGTGTACGTGTATGCATGTGTGTGTGTGTGTGTGTGTGTGTGTGTGTGTGTGTGTGTGTGTGTGTGTGTGTGTGTGTGTGTGTGTGTGTGTGCAGGAATGCGCGCCCCATCTGTTGCAAGACCATGATTGACATGCCTCGAGTGTGGGCGCAGCTGGACCAGGAGGTTTTATCCTTGTTATTTTGATCCTCGAATTAAGCACTAATGATATTGCTCTGTGTGCGTGTGTATGTGAATGCAGGTATGCGTGCCCCATCTGCTGCAAGACCATGTTTGACATGTCTCGAGTGTGGGCGCAGCTGGACCAGGAGGTGAGCACATTCAGAAGCACGGATTGTTGGCGGCAATCAGAAGCACCTCATGGAAGTGATTTTTTAGTAATGTCTTTTTACAATGCCCTTGACAACTTGTGAACTGGGCTCCATGTGCTTCACTGGTGATTCGTTGTTGTCTCTAGTTAATTCTTGAAGTTATCATCTGCACTCTTCTTCCGGGCTTGCTTTCGTGCTGTGGCAGGTTGCTGCAACACCCATGCCAGAAGCATATCAAAACCAGATGGTAACAGCTCTATGCTCCCACGTACCTTTGCCTCATGCCATTCTACTGTCCTCCCCGTTCTCCTCACTCGTTTGCTTCACAAACCTTGTTCGTATCCTTTCCCTAATTTCTTCGGCGTTTACCCCTCCTCTATCTCCTCTCCTCCTCTTCCTTTTTCCCTCGACTTATTACGACGTATTAATACCCCCTGACCACTTTCCCCTCTTGTAGTTGGAGACACCTCACAACCTCACCTGCTACGCCACCTTACCACCTTCCTTCCCTGAATTTCCTTCAGACACCCATCCTGTGCAACGACTGTGGAGGCAGCGGTTCTGTGCCATTCCATGTGGTGGGGCACAAGTGCCCGCACTGTGGCTCCTACAACACCCGCCAAACACAGTAGCAGCACGGTGGAGCACACTGGACGGCATGGCTTGGCGTTTATGGCGGGCAGTGGAATGTTACAGCTCACATGGCGCTTGTGACACCACCTGTGCAGTGCTGCAGTCAAAGTGCCATTGGGCGAGTGAATGAAGAGTGTTGCTCTCTCGGGCAACACCACCCCCAACAATCCCCCCTGCCACCACCCCAGCCTTGAGCACCCTCATGATCCCTGTCTATCACCATTCACTTCACACATGTACAGGCATCACCACCACCACCATCATCATCTCAGCCCTGAGCCATGACTCAGATCAACCCAGATCCCCATCTGAGCTAGCCCGACCAGGCTCTAGCTGTACCTTATCTCACTAGAGCAGGCTTCTCATTGGATGACCACTGGTAGCATGGAGAACCTTCAGGGTCATGCTGAATCTCTATTATTAGCATACGGAATATTGGCATTTGAGCCCTGGAATTTGGGATTGTGCTACAGCTATGGCTGCTTGGGCAATTCAGGCGTGGGGGCACACATTTTGCAGGCTTGTGAAGCTCTCAACAGAGTGATGGAGTTGCTGTGAGGTTTGGGTGTCCGTCCATATATGACCATAGCCTAGAGCCAGTGTAAAATTGAGCTGTTGTCCAACAAGTCACATCTAGTTCCCGATGCTTCTGACGAGGTTCAGCGTGGTGCTAGGTAGAAACCCAACACTAGTTTGAAACTGACAAGGTCTAACAAGGAAAATTGGTTGGAAATCGAAAATCGCTCCCGGGTGGGCTTGAACCACCGACCTTATGGTTAACAGCCATACGCTCTAACCAACTGAGCTACGAGAGCTGATGCGTGTCTGCTAAGTAATTTTGAGTCCTTATTTTTTCCATTACAAAGCATCCACTTCTTTACTTGATTAGCAGTTCCTGCAGCCATGTGGGAGGAAGGCGTGGTGCTCCACGGCGGGCGAAAGCGATGGCGCCACGGCAGAGCTCGCGAGGACGGTGTGCCGCAGTACATTCACGATCGCCTTATGTTACTGTGTTACGAAAACGACCCGCTTCACCTCACCCCCGCCATAGACAACCACAGGTCCGCGAATCCCTCCGAGACTCTCCTCTTCTGTTCGACTGCTCTGCTTCGACCACCCAGCTCTGAGCACTCCGCATCGACCATTCAGCTGTGACTCGCGCGTGTGGCTCATTGGTCCTCGCGACACTGGATCCGCCAGACATGTCGCGACAGGGGTATCCGTGGCGCTCCCCTTCCCTCGACGACCCACATTTCCGCTGGTTTAGGACGACTTCAATCCAAACAATCTTGGAATCAGAGACGACTCAAAGCCAAAGTATCTCGGATGCCATGACGTCCCTCAACTAGGCTCCGCTTCTCTCATACTCTTGCTCCCATGGGTTGTTTGATTGAGTCATCACCGATCGAGCCATCATTGAAGGGTGTGATGGGTGGAAGCGCTTCTTTGATGTTCAGTGCTCACCATTGATGGAAGCAGCGTGATGATGTGACTTTTGAGTCGACTTAAAAGTCACCTTCTTTGATGTTCAGTGCTCATCATTGATGGAAGCAGCGTGATGATGTGACTTTTGAGTCGACTCAAAAGTCACCTTCTTTCATGCTCAGTGCTCATCATTGATGGAAACAGCGTGATGATCAATGCTCTATTGTCCACATTTGTCTAGTTTTTACCACATTCGTTTATTCTGCCTACTCCACCACTCAGCACTCCTCTCTATTCTCTTCCCCCGTTCCCCCTTTTCCCCCTAAAAAGGTGGCTCAGTTTGACGACAGAGCCAGGACGCATACTCGTCACCATCCCAGTACTCGTCATTGCTCACAACTACTCTGCCATTGTGCTGCTGCTGAAGTTCTCATCACCCCCCACCACTCATCACCCCCCACCACTCATCACCCCTCACCATCCTCACCATATCCGTGCCCTGTCCTACCCCCAAGAAACCCCTCCCTCTTCCCCTCCCACCCATAGGTTCATCGGGTCGATGACAGAGGCAGCGTGTAGCTCAACTTCCGCGAACCACCCCTCACCACCCATTCAAACAGGTACATCGGGGTGATGACGGAAGCAGCGCGCATATTCGCTCACAACTACTCAGCCGACGTGCTTCTGCTCAACTTCGGCCCGCCTCTTCCTGACGCTGAGCTCTACTCGCTCTTCAACAAGAACGTGTGCGAGGTAATGGGGTGGTGGTGAACGGTGATGGGAGGTGATAACGGGTGGTGAGGGGTGGCGATGGGTGGTGGAAGGTGGTAATGGGCGGGGAGAGCCGCCGTTATCCTGATGCCGACCTCCACTCGCTCTTCAATAAATACGTGTGAAATCCCTCCCTCTATGAAATTTCCCCATTGGGATTGCCCCCTCGGGATTGCTCTCTTTGGATTGTCTCCCAGGAGTTCTCTCCTGGAATTTGAGAGATTCTGTTTTCAGAGCATTTCACACTGCCTGAAGCCTGCTCTGCAATCGATCACTGCCCTGCCTTCCCTGTGTAGGATTCAAGAATTCAAGAGGGTTCTGAATCCTACCCTGCCTTCCCCGTGTGAGCAGCTGGGAACGCCCTGGGACTGGCCTCGGGGGCCCATGGTGTTGACTTCCGGGGTTTTGAGGATTCAAAAATTCTCTCGCACCCACTGCTGCTGCCCTCCTCCTCATCGTGCCCTTGCCTTGTTCACTCACAGCTGGGAGTGCGGAGGGACTGGCCCCAAGCCCCCATGGTGTATCCTTCCAGGAGTTTTGAGGATTCAAAGTGTCCCTCTCACTGATTGCCACTGCTCTCCTCCACACCGCCTTCTTCCCCTCTCCTCCCATATGCCCTTGCCTCACAGCTGGGAGCGCCGTGGGACTGGCCTCGTGGGCCCATGGTGTGCCCTCTTGATATCATCTTTCGAGCCTGCTCCACCATGCACACCTGGTAACCACCATGCACACCTGGTAACCACCATGCACACCTGGTAAACACCATGCACACCTGGTAACCACCATGCACACCTGGTAACCACCATGCACACCTGGTAACCACCATGCACACCTGGTAACCACCATGCACACCTGGTAACCACCATGCACACCTGGTAACCACCATGCACACCTGGTAACCACCATGCACACCTGGTAACCACCATGCACACCTGGTAACCACCATGCACACCTGGTAACCACCATGCACACCTGGCACACCTGGTAAACACCATGCACACCTGGTAAACACCATGCACACCTGGTAAACACCATGCACATCCAATGAGTTTTTTTTTTTTTGGCTTGCACTGAAACCGTAGACAGCCAATGAGGTGTGTGACAATAGATACAAGTGACTTATTAACAGGGAAGCAGCAGACGATGACCATGTGGGAGTGCTGCACACCCATGCAGCCCCAGCAACCTCCATCTGTCTCTCTCTGCTGTTAGTCTTCTGGTCCCTCAATTCCCCAACCAGACTCACAGTCGAAGACGACCATGTGGCACTGATACACATAGTAGAAGACGACCATGTGGCAGTGATACACATGCGAGCAGCCCCAGCAACGACGTTTCAACCACATCAATCCCTTCCTTTCCTCCCTTGTCCTTCCGCTCCCACCAGGCTAGCAGCAGACGACGACCACGTGGCAGTGCTACACACGCGAGCGGCTCCATCAGTGGAGTTTCAACTCTGTCAATCCCTTCCTTTCCTCCCTCTTCCCTCCGCTCCCACCAGGCTAACAGCAGACGATGACCACGTGGCAGTGCTGCACACGCGCAGCCCAAGCAACGTCGGGGGAGCATGCTTCCTCCGCTTTGTTGCTGCATGCTACCTCTCCTACAGGTGCTAATTCCCCCACTCTCTCCCCTCTCTGGTCCGTCCTTTTATTCTCCCTATACCTTGCACTCTCTCCTCTCCTCTCCTCTCCTCTCCTCTCCTCTCCTCTCCTTTCCTCTCCTCTCCTCTCCTCTCTCTCTCTGCTCTCCCCTATCACATCTCTTCTCCCTCCTCTTTCACCGCTCCTGACAAGGCGTTGAAGTCCCCTGTTCCCTGCTTCCCCTCCCCCACCCCCAATCACCTCTTCCCCTCCTGCCCCCTCCTTCGTCCCTCCCTTCCCCTTTCCTCTCCACACGGCCGTCTCCAATATCCACCAACCTCTCCCCTTTCCCTCCCTTTCAACTCCCTCGTTCTCTTCGATCCTCCCCCATCCCATCTTGCGTCCTCCTCCCCCCTCTCCCTCCCAATCCTTCCTCCTTTCTCCGCTTTCTTACCAACTCTCCTTTCTTCTTCCCCTTTCTCCCCTCAATCCTTGCCCAGATTTTCCAGATCGTGGATGGCCCTTGCTTTCTTCTCCTCCTCATCCTCCCACCCTCCCTGTCCCAATCCCCCCTCCGCTCCCCCTCTCCCCACTTCCGCTCCCCCCCTTTCCCCCCAATCTTCCCCCCCAATCCCCCCCAATCCTCCTCCAATCCCCCCCAAATTCCCCCCCCCCCCCCCACTTAATCCTCCCCCAATCAGTGCAGAGTTTCCCAGTGCGTGGCAGGCCCTTGCTTCCCTCCCCCAACCCCTCGGCCAACCAGAACTCGCCACGTGGCACCCCCTCCCCCCCGAAGAGCTGGGGGAGGGGAAGGGGGGGCATGGGGGGCAGGGGGGGCTTGGGGGGAATGGGGCGCTGGAGCAGCAGCAGAGGGAGGAGTGGGGGGAGGTGGTGGGGGGAGGGCAGAGGGGCAGCATGGGGCAGCAACGATACTGCACCTACGTGGATGAGTTTGTGAAGGCAGGGAGAGGGGATGAGGTGGGTGCTGTGCGGTGCTGCAAGGTGGTGTGCAGTGGTGTGCGGTGCTGTGTGGCTGTGTGTGGGTGCCGCACTGACAAAGGAAAGGCAGCATGGGACAGCAGCGCTACTGCAACTGTGTGGATGAGTTTGTGAAGGCAGGGCGAGGGGATGAGGTGGGTGCTGTGCGTTGTTGGGCGGTTTTGTGCGGTGCTGTGAGGTTTGGGACAGCAGAGCTACTGCAGCTGTGTGGACAAGGTTGTGAAGGCAGGGCGAGGGGACGAGGTGGGTGCAGTGCGGTGCTTTGCGGCGTTGTGCGGTGGTGTGTGATGCTGTAGGGTTTCTGGGTGCTCAGGTCAGGGTGCTGTGTGGATGAACGTTGGGGCAGAATAGCCAAACATTGTTCCTCCAGTGCAGTCTTCTTTCCCTGCCCCCTCCTCTCCCCTTTTGTCCTCCCGTTCCTTTCCAAACTTCCCCTCCCCCCGTCGTCTTCCCCTGCAGCCCACTCAACAGCCACTATCCCATCCCCACCTCCCATCCCCACCTCCCATCCCCACCTCCCATCCCCACCTCCCATCCCCACCTCCCTGCCACCTCTCTTTGTGTTGCCCCCCTCCTGCCAGCCATCACTCGCCTCCCTGCCGCCCGCCGCCCCGATTCTTCGAAAGCTCATTCTCAGCGCATGCCCATCCATCGATGGGGCTGGCGTTTTTCGGCCGTATCTTAAGGTGGGTCGGCATCAGTTGTCTGTAAAATGGGGAGAGTGTGGATGGACTGATGGGGAGAGTGTGGATGGACTGATGGGGAGAGTGTGGATGGACTGATGGGGAGAGTGTGGATGGACTGATGGGGAGAGTGTGGATGGACTGATGGGGAGAGTGTGGATGGACTGATGGGGAGAGTGTGGATGGACTGATGGGGAGAGTGTGGATGGACTGATGGGGAGAGTGTGGATGGACTGATGGGGAGAGTGTGGAGTGTGGGGGGAGTGTGGGAGTGCTCGGAAGAGTGTGTGCAGGCATGCATGCTAGGAGGCTGTGTCATATCTGTTTTGAGAATTCTCAAAAAACATAAGAGTGTGTGCCGTGCAGGTCTGCATGGTTGGAGTGAGTGCTGGGAAGGTTGTGTCACATCTTTGAGCAAATCAAGCCGTTCACATGCACATACACGTAACATGCACGTACACGTAACATGCACATACATGTAACATGCGCATACGCGTAACATGCACATACATGTATCATGCATGATGATGCCGTGTGTACCCATCACTATGAGCAGGTGTTTTGGACGGGAGAGAGAGAGGGAGTGAGGAGCAGTGTCTTTCCTGGGGGTGATTTATATGTTTTTCAATGATCGTCTAATCACTCGTTGGCAAGCCATGCTGTGTGCTGCTATGCGGTGTCTGTTGTTTCTGCTTGGCTGTGCGCAGGTGTTTCGGAGGGGAGCAGAAGTGAGCAGCACTGTCTTGCCTGGAGAGGTGAGGCTTGGGGGAGGTGAGGCGTGGGGAAGGTGAGATGTGGGGGAGGTGAGATGTGGGGGAGGTGAGATGTGGGGGAGGTGAGATGTGGGGGAGGTGAGATGTGGGGGAGGTGAGATGTGGGGGAGGTGAAGAGCGGGGGCAGATGGGTAAACAAAGGGGTAGATGGGTCAACAAGGGGGTAGATGGGTCAACAAGGGGGTAGATGGGTCAACAAGGGGGTAGATGGGTCAACAAGGGGGTAGATGGGTCAACAAGGGGGTAGATGGGTCAACAAGGGGGTAGATGGGTCAACAAGGGGGTAGATGGTGCCCTTCGAGGTCAACGCACCTGTGTGGGGAGACTGTGCCTTTGACCCATTTCCCCATCCCCCCCCCCCTTCCCACCTGCTTTCATCCAGGTGCCGCCCTCCTTCCCCACAGGGTCAGCATGGATGGTTCCCTTTGAGGTTACCCCTATGCCTTTGCCCCCGTTCCCCATCACCCCGTCCCCCTCCCCCCACCTTCATACATCCAGGTGCCGCCCTCCTTCCCCACTGGGTCAGCGTGGATGGTGCCCTTTGAGGTCGACGCTACTCTGTGGAGCGACTGTGCTTTTTCCCCCTGTCCTCATTCCCCCCCTCTCCCCATTCCCCCCTCCCTCCTGCCATCAACCTCCAGGTGCCGCCCTCCTTCTCCACTGGGTCAGCGTGGATGGTGCCCTTTGAGGTCGACGCTACTCTGTGGAGCGACTGTGCTTTTTCCCCCTGTCCTCATTCCCCCCCTCTCCCCATTCCCCCCTCCCTCCTGCCATCAACCTCCAGGTGCCGCCCTCCTTCCCCACTGGGTCAGCGTGGATGGTGCCCTTCGAGGTCAACGCGCCTGTGTGGGGCGACTGACACTGCCTTCCCCTTTCTCTTAATCCCCTCCCATCGGCTCCATCACCCCCAACCTCCAGGTGCCGCCCTCCTTCCCCACTGGGTCAGCGTGGATGGTGCCCTTCGAGGTCAACGCCCCTGTGTGGGGCGACTGTGCCTTCGCCGTGCATCACTGGACAGGTGACGTGTGGGCTGGTAGCATTGGGGCATGCAACACCTGGGAGGCGAAAATCCAGACTGCAAAATCTTGAGAGGTAGGATTCAGACGGGTAGAATCTAGACAGGTAATAGCTAGGCAGGTAGGATCTACATGAGTCTTATCTACTCCACAGCCACTGTGACAGGTAAGCGCGCCTGTGCCTTTGCCGTACACAGCTGGACAGGCAGGTAACCTCCAGGGTGGGCGGGCGGAGCTGCTTTGTTAGCACTTTAAATTAGATGAGTTTTGAGACATTTCAAATTGAACTCTCCGCACCTTAATTTCCTACCTGCTAGGCAACAGCACCTAAGCTGTTTCTCTCTCAACCCGCATCGCCTCACCACTCACTACACCCAGGCAACAGCGGCAGGGACGAGAGCGAGCCGGTGTTTGTCTTTGCCTTCCACTCGGCATTCCTACGCATCGGCCTCACCAGAATAACCCTCCACGAGGTAAGATCCAAATAACCCTCCACGAGGTAAGATCCAAATAACCCTCCACGAGGTGAGATCCAAATAACCCTCCACGAGGTAAGATCCAAATAACCCTCCACGAGGTAAGATCCAAATAACCCTCCACGAGGTAAGATCCAAATAACCCTCCACGAGGTAAGATCCAAATAACCCTCCACGAGGTAAGATCCAAATAACCCTCCACGAGGTAAGATCCAAATAACCCTCCACGAGATAAGGTTCACCTAGATGTACACCTAGATGTTCAGCTAGATCAACCCCCTTTCTTGTTTCTCTGTTACATTGAGGACCCCCTGGCACCGCACAGTTGTGTCTTTGCCTTCCACTCGGCATTCCTACGCATCCACCTCACTCGGATAACCCTCCACTCGGCATTCCTACGCATCCACCTCACTCGGATAACCCTCCACTCGGCATTCCTACGCATCCACCTCACTCGGATAACCCTCCACGAGGTAATGCCTTCCCCTGTACCACCCTCCTCTTCCCTAAAACACGTGAATAGCCCTAACGCCAGTCGGCCTCCCTCGCCTCAACCTCACTGCCAGCTCGACTGTGCCTACAGGGGAAGCATCCAAATGCGGCCGATTCCTTCATTGACGTGCTCACATAATAGAGATGCTATGGCCCCCTCTCACTTCCTTTCCTCCCCTGCACATCCCCTTCTCTATCCCCCCCCCAACATCAGCTCGACTGTGCCTACGGGGGAGACATCCAAGTGCCGGCAGATTTTTTCATCGATGTGCTCATAGAGATGCCGCGGCCACGTGGCGGCACGCCATTGGCCGACGGTCACTCCGATGCTGCGCCAGCTGGCATGATGCTGACGTGGCAGCAGCTGCTGGCGGCGTACCGCGACGACTTTGTGGAAGCTTCCAGGAAGCAGCGGATGGCCCACGGGAGGGAAGAGACGAGGCTTGGAAGAGCTGAGGCAGAGAGGAGCGAGCGGGACCGGAAGGGAGAGGGACCGGGAGGGTTTAGGAGGGACCGGGAGGGAGAGAAAGGAGTGAACGGGAGGGGCAGCAGCACGTTCACCTTGGATCAGCAGGAGCGTTTTCAACTGGCAATTTCTCAAAGTGCTCTTGCAACGCCAGCAGTAGATGGGAGGGGCGGGTTGCCTCAGTTGCAAGAGCTAGAGAGGGACCGGAGGGATGGAGTGGGGGATGAGAGGAGGAGTCTGGCTCGCAGTTTAGTGACTGAGGTGCTATCACACCCGCTCCTGCGCCACACAGGACAGGCAAGCCACCCGGGCATGCTGTCTGTGCCGCCCGGTATGCCGCCCATGCTGCCTGGCATGCCGCCCATACCGGCCGGAGTGCCGTCCTCTCAATACAACCTCCCTCCCACTCCCACAACGCCTCACATGCCGCCCTCCCCCCACTCACCACTCCCACACTCGCCCCTCCCCCAACTTCCGTCTCTTTCCGAAGACTTCAGCCCGTCCCATTCCTCCTCCGCTCCTCCCCTCTCGTCCACTCCTCCTCCCACCACAAACCCGCCCTCTCAAGAACTGGACTCCTTAGCTGATCTGCTCATTCGCATGTCCCTCTCCACGGGCTCACGGCACAGCATGGGGATTGGGGGCTTGAAGGGGGTTGAACGGCCCAAGGGGGGGATGGGGGGGGGAAGGCTTGCTGTGGGGCCCATGAGTGCGAGCTTTGAGCAGGGGAGTGAGAGGCACAGCATGGGGCGTGGGGTTGTGCGGGGGAGAGCTGTGAGGGAGGGGAGCATGGGGAGGGAGGGGGAGGGAAATGTGTTAGGCGCAGAGGGGATGGGGGAAGAAAGGCAGAGCATGGGGAACGGGGGAGCATATGTGAGCGCCATAGGTGGGGAGGGGAGGATGGGGGGCGCGGAAGGTATGGGGGGAGGGGAACGGGAGGGCATGTTGAATGGGAATGCGATGGGGGAAAAGTGGGAAGGCAAGGGCATGGAGAGTGGGGATGTGAGGGTAGTGAGGGAGGGTAGAGATGCGGGAGGAGAGAGGAGAGCAGGGGCGGGTGAAGCAAAAGGAGATCACTTGAGAGCAAGTGCTGCTGGTCCTGCTGGCCACACGACAAGAGGAAAAGAACCACTTGCTTCTCCATCTGAACCGTTGTTATTATCACCCCCAACACCTACAGCAGCAGCAGCAGTAGCAGCGGCGTCAACAGAAGGATTGCCAACACTATTATCATCATCTAGAGCAGCAGCATTGGCGTCAGCAGCAGAATCACCAACACTATCATCATCATCTAGAGTTGCAGCAGGAGCAGCAGCAGAATCACCAACACTATCATCATCATCTAGAGTTGCAGCAGGAGCAGCAGCAGAATCACCAACACTATCATCATCATCTAGAGCAGCAGCAGGAGCAGCAGCAGAATCACCAACACTATTATCATCATCTAGAGCAGCAGCAGGAGCAGCAGCGGAGGCACATTCTCCTCCTCCCTCCTCTTCCCCTCTCAAACCCACACCCATTCAACCTACCCAAGCCCCCATCCCTCCCCCAACCCCCCCTCCGCCTCCCCCTCCCCCACCCTCCAGCCGCCCCCCCCCTCCCCCACCCCCTATCCGCCTAGCCTCAGGCAAACTGGCTGCGCCTGGGATGAAGGGACTGCAGGGGGAAGGGGAAGGGGGAGGGGCGGAGGGGGAAGGGGACCTTTTCCCTCCTGCCCGCCCCTTGCACTGGAACAAAGTGACTAATGTGAAAGGGACTGTGTGGGAGGAGATAGAAAGAGAGGGTTCGGCTAAAGAGTTGAAAGACGATAGAGTAGGGGATGGGGGAAGCAAGGGAAATAGCAGTAGCGTTCTTGTATCGAAGGTGACACTACCAGATGACATGAGACGAGCCATCCGGGTGCTTTTTCAGGTGAAAGCAACAAAGCCAGGGGGGAAGTCAAAGACAGGAGGGCAAGGGGAAGGGGGAGGACCGGGAGGGCGGAAGGGACTAGGGAAAGATGAGTTGCAAGTGGTTGGTTTGGCTCGTGCTAACAACGTAGCCATCATGCTTACTCAATTCCGCATGCCCGAGAATCAAATCCGAGATCTGATCCTCGCAGGAGATCCCAAGCACGTGCTCCCACCTGACCGCCTGGGCCTGCTGCTTCAGGTGATTCCAACAGAGGAGGAGGCGGTGAGGTTCAGGGCAGTCTCAGGTGCTGCTTCAGGTGCCATGTGTGCACCTGAGCGTTTCCTCTGGTCCATATCGCTGATTCCGAGAATGCGGAGGAAAATCGAGGCGCTTATGTTTGTGCGGCATTTTCACACCATAGTGAACGACGCCCGGGCAGTCATAAAAGTTTTTTGTTCTGCTGCCCGAGCGATTCACAGCAGCAAGATTCTCCGGGCAGCGCTAGCAGCGGCGCTTGAAGTGGGGAACGAGCTCAACCGAGGCAGTGCAAGGGGTGAGTCCCGGTGAAGAGGGTTGAGACGGGGTCGAGGGGGATGAGAGGGGTTTGAGAGGGGTTGGCCAGGCAAGGGATGGGAATGGCAGGCACGGAAAGGGAAAGTAGCGAAACCGGTGCAAATAAAACTAGCACTCATAAGCTCCTCTTAGAAAACCCCACATGCGTCGTCACCCTCTAACCCCCTTCCCACCCTTCTCTCCCCCTCCTCCTTCCCCCTCCAATTCCAGGTTCGGCTCGCGGGTTCTCTCTAGAATCCCTCACCCGCCTCTCAGAAGTGCGGGTCACTCCCCCCTCCCACCGTGCCAAGGGCCTCGACACACTGTTCACCGCCTCCCAGCTGACTTCTGAGTCGACTGAAAAGACAAACTCCTCCCAGATTCTGCCTCGCGGCTCTCGATTCTCGCGCACACAGTCCTTCCCTGTCATGCGCGCCAATGCACCCTCCTCCTCCGCCTCCTCGTCATCGTCCTCCTCCTCTTCCTCCCCTTCCCCATTTTCCTCCTCTTCCTCCTCCGCCGCTCGTCCCTCCTCCCTGTTCCCCTCATCCTCAACCCTCGCTGCCACCACCACTCCTGCAGCCCCCCCTTTCCCTTCCCATCCCTCTCATTCTCCTCCCCTGATCACCCGTGCAACAACGCTCCTCGACGTGGTCGTGATAATAACGAGGGGAAGTGACTCATCCAGACCAGAGGGGGGAGAGGAGGAAGCAGGGGTAGTGGGAAGCAGCCTTTTGGACAGTTCACTCAGAAACAAGGGAGGAAAGGAGGGAGCAGGGGGGAGAGGGAAGCTTACAGTCGAGCTGGCAGCAGTAGGGGAGGCCGTAAGGATGTCCCAAGCTGACGTGGCAGATGCCACGTCAGCACTTGACACAGGCCTGCGATTGGTGGATGAGGAGGTGCGGCTTCTCCAGCAGGAGAAAGAAGAGGCAGGGCTGAAGGAGGGGGAGGGGGAGCAGGAGGAGGAGGAAGAAGAGGAGAAGGAGAGGGAGGAGGGACAGGGGGAGGGGCATGATAGCAAGGGTGGGGCGGAGAGGCTATGGAAGGGGAGGGGGGTAAGGGAGGGCGGGCTGCTGGCAGTGCTGGCAGAGTTTAGATTGAATGCACGGAAGGAGAGGGAGGAACTGGCCAAGGATGCTGAGGAGTGCAGGTGAGTACAATGCGGTGCTATGTAAGTGAGCAGTGCACTGCAATTTGTGTAACACTTAATGTTCAAATAGTTTGAGTTTAGCATTAGTTGTTGTAGTTAGTTGTCATCAGTAGTGTAGCATGCATCCGCTTTTCTCAAATCTGCACACGTTGGGATTCTTATTGCCGTCCCTTTTCTCTCATCAGGGCAACGCTTCGCCAGCTGGCACGATACCTCGGGGAGTCCAAACCCCAACCCTCAACATCGGATGTAAGACCCCCCTTATAATCAACCACCCAATAAACCGACCTTCATAACACCATCATTCTTCGATTCGTTTCGCTCCACTCTTTCCTCGGTTCGTCCACATTCAAGTTTGTTTGACATTCACTATTGCCTGTTTTCCCGCGCAGGCACTGTTGGCGTCCTTGTGGTCGTTTGCCACACTCTTTGATCGAGCACAGGCGGCACTGAACATGTGAAATATCCTCAGCCTAACCATTGATCACTCACTGAACCATGACAACTGGCGACGTCATGATCACCCTAACACCAACAATCATGTGTAGTTGGATGAGTAGTAAGGTGGAAAAAACAAGCTCCAAATGATTGGATTCTGTTTAAAGAGTGGCATCGCTATGTAATTGACTTTGACGCATGAGGCTCAAGAGGATCCAGTCTAGGACCAGGATGATTGGGAATAATGTTTGGTTGATTCTTGGCTTTTCTTCTGTTCTCGACTGATTTCGGACACCGTGTCTGTAGGTTGTACAGAACTATCTCGTAACGAATATCATTTCGGTCTGGTTTGCGATGTAAGGGCGGGTCCAACTTTGTGCACTCCCGTTTTTTTCGTTATTTTTACGTCAATGCAAACGTAAAAATTTGACTGTGCCCCAGGGCGCAATCCTAACATTTCTTGTCCAGTTCATACTGTAGAGTTCGGACTTTTGACGAGGTACAACAACGTTGCGAGGTACAGTACCTGGGATCATGGGTTTCCAAACATAGCGTGGTTTCGTGCACCTGTAGAAGAGGAAGAATTGAGTCGCGAAAAAAAAATGCGAAACCGTTTGACGTGTTCGACGCAAAACGGTTGGGAGACGAATTGAAGGTGAGCTTTCCGACGTGTTCTGCACGTTTTTGGGAGACGATTCCGAAATTGTACAGTGTCGCGTCAAATAGATTAGGTACGTTAAAAGTTCGGCTACAAGCCTAAATATGGTGACTGTGCTGAAAAATATCGTACATGTACAAAGTTGGACCCGCCCTAACTGAAGCATAGGCTAGGCTGGTTGAAGGCCTGGCCTATCAGAGGCCCACCGTGCCGTGCTGGCTGGTTCGTCCGGCTCGTTTGTCCGCATCTCCAACCACCGAGGAAAAGAAGCTTCGTTTTCGCTACTTTCACCAAAGCGCGCACAGCGGACCGCGATTACCTTGTGCGCGACTCGGCTCACGGTACGTGCATGGGGTGGGTGGGGGCTGGAATGTGGGGGGTGGGGGAAGGGTACGGACGGACAGGATCTTTCAAAATTTCAGCCCCCATTTGCACGATAAATATGCGAGAGCAAGAGCATTGCAAACAGACCAATTCGAAGCAACTCCACTTCACAACTCGACATCACAGCACCTGCTAAGCCATCCCACTGATACCGACTGCTATCGCCTCCGTTGAACCTGTGAACCGTTTTCAAACCCAGTGCACCTCTGACTAGCTCAGCACACCACGCATATCCCAGGCATGTCTCTCGACAACGTTTGTTCCCATATTTCCAAGTCGACACCACAGCTAGTTCCTGACAGAGACATTGAATCGGGTGCAGACACTCCCACATCTCCTCATGCCTCCCTCCCCGTTTCCACGTCGCCTGGAAAGTCGCTTCCCCTCTTCTGCTGCGCGCCTCCGCTCGCAAAGAACGCGTTTTCCGCAAGTGGCAGCGCGGATGGCGAAAATTCAGGAGAGTTCACCGCGGTTTACCCTTCCGATTTGCGCATCGCCAACCCTAAGGAAGTAACCAGCACTGCGGACGAAATAGAAAAGCTTCGCAAGGACGAGAAGGATCGCCAGAGGCGTCGTCGCCGGACCTGCTGCTGCCGCGTCGCATGCTGGTCGCTCATCGTCCTCGCGGTCGTTATCGTCGGTCTAGGCGTCGCAGGGCTCGTCGCATACCTGACAGTCTCGAAGCAACAGCCGGAGGTGAAGGTCGAGCAAATAAACATCATCCGCGTCGGCATCACAAAATCCGGCGGCGGCTTGCTGGGCCTCGAAAACTTCCGCCTGGGCCTATCCGCGTTAATAAACGTCACCGCGCTCGTGTATAACCCCAACAACTGGGACGTGGAAGCGGAAAACATCAGCATCGACGTGAAATTCTTCGACATGCATGTTGCGAATGTGACCCTGCCAGGCGTTGTGGGCATGAGCAAGGGCGGCAGCGCGGAGTTGACTGTCCCCCTCGATATTTTCGACGCGCCCCTGGCGACGCTGAGTCCCGCGAGCCTGCTGACGACGCCGCTGCTGCATGGGCGCGCGGAAATGCGGGTGGTGGTTGGCACTGCAGCGCGCGTGAAATACTGGGGTATCTCGTCGCCGCGCGTTATGGTGCATGTGGAATGCACGATGCAGCTGGACACGTTTTCCGCTAAGAAGTACAACGAGCAGTGTACACCCAGCATCTCATTGTGAAAGGAGCATCAGCATAGAGGCTTCAGAATACCATAGGCTTTCTCGTTGCCATACTCCCCCCTAGGTGTTTGCTTGTTATTCTCAGGGCCTGTCCTGAGTTTGTGTCAGTCATAGCACAAGGCTTTGACACAAATTCAGGAATGCGCCCTCTTTGTTTTGTACCTCATAGTGTTTGACTAAAACTTACAACTCCATAGCAGTTTCAGCCACATCATGCAATGACAGAATCATGGCACATGAAAGGCAGAGACTACACAGGCTTAGCCAACACAACGTAAGGGCGTTTGCTAACCTATGTTTGAGCACGCTATTGGTCCCAATGCACGTCCCGTCTCGTCGGCAAGATCTGTGCAGGTTCAAGGCTGTGCAGGTGTAAGGCTGTGCAGGTGTAAGGCTGTGCAGGTGTAAGGCTGTGCAGGTGTAAGGCTGTGCAGGTGTAAGGCTGTGCAGGTGTAAGGTTGTGCATGTGTAAGGTTCGCCTAGCAAGTCACGACTCAGCATTATGTGGCTACTCCATCACGTAACACTGCTGATGTAGGGGGAATGCTCACGATGCAAACGGAGCTACAGCCACAGCAGCACTACACAAGCAGCAGGTCTGAACTAGTCAAAAACCACTCTCAAGCTGCATCTCAGCCATCGAGGCCTTTACACACATCGCCAGAAAACCCCTTCGCGAAACCAAGCCGCAGTTGAGCAAGCGCACATGATCACATGGGCTTCAGAGGCCGGCCTTACACTACATATGTATTTCAATACATAAATACAACAAATTTGGACCTCAAATAAGAGTGTCAAGCTGCATCGGATCCGCTCTGGGAGTTGAGCGGCCACAGCATGGGTTCCTGCAGCCTGCTGCAGCAGCTGTCCAAGGGGCAACCGCCCCCCCTCCCCCCTCACCCCCTTCCCACCCACCTACCGGCTCTACATGCCATTTGCGTCAGCTTCCGAAGCTAGCATGGTGCTTCAGCTCAAGCTGCATCCGTGCGTGCCATTTCGGTCCGGGGGTTGAGTACGGTACCTATTTGCAGAATGAGTTCCCGCTGCAGAAGCACCTGCTGGCGCCGCGCGCTATCAGGCCCTACGTGCCTTCTGAGTCCACCCCAGAACCAACAGAGCAGCAGACGCCCCGGGTTTGACTCATCCCTCAAGCTGCATCGGAGTTGCTCTGGGAGTTCAACGAACGCAAAATGAGCTCCTAGCACTCTCGCCTGCTCTACATGAGCCACCAGATACGCCAACCCAAGAGCCACCAGAGCAGCAGAAGCTGGGCTGGACACGTCTCAAGCTGCATCGGAGTCACTCTGAGAGTTCAACAGCCGGAGAATGAGCTCCTGCTGCAGCAGCAGCTGCTGGTGCAGCGCACTCGCCTGCTCAATCGCTTTCATATCCTGCTGCACCACCTGCTTCTGAAGCCTCCTCACTGCCCTCCTCTGCAGCTGCACCTCCCCTCTCAGCACTTCTAGTCCCTCCGCTGTCATAGCAGCGTCAATAGAAACCCTAGTTAGTGTGTCTTTGAGTCTCTTATGCTCCTCCTCCTCCTGCTGCTGCTGCTGCTCCTGCTCCCTGAGTGGGGCAACCGGGGCTGCCATCCCGTCCAGAACCTCTCCGAACTGAGCCAGGATCACGTTAGCTATGGGCCGAACCTCAATTGTAGGGTCGGCACCAGCCTGAAAGGGAGAGAGAGGAGGGAGGCAGTGCAGTGAAGAACTGGTTACCAGACCTGCAACCCCACGTGTCGTTTCAGCCCGGCTGAGTGGAAGCAGGCAGCTCACCTCCTGCTTTTGGCAAAAGCCTCTCCAATTCAGACTCCCAAGAGGAAAGCAGAAGAGACAAGAGTTACGGAGGGAGTGAGAGCAAGCAGGCAGCTCACCTGTCGCTTGAGAAGTAAAGAGTTGTGGGAGGGAGAGAGAGCAAGCGGGCAACCCACCTGTCGCTTGAAGCTCAAGCTTCCTCCCCTCACGGAGTCACTACCAGGGTGTCTGTTAGCTGCACAGCGCTCCAGCACCCCCAGCAGCGCGTCGCCATACAGACAATTTGACGGTGGGAGGGAGAGTGAAAAGCAAGCAAGCGGGCAGCCCCACCTGTCACTTGAAGCTGAAGCCTCCGCCACGCAAGGAGTCACTGCCGGGGGGGCTGTTTGCAGCGCTGCGCTCCAGCACCCCCAGCAGCCCCCTCACGCTGTGCCTTGACCCGCCCAAAGCCCCCTCACCCTGTGCCTTGACCCGCCCAAAGCCCCCTCACCTGGCGCCTGAAGCTGAAGCCTCTGCGCACAGAGCCACTGCCAGAGTGTCTGCTGGCAGCGCAGCGCTCCAGCACCCCAAGCAGTGCGTCGGCATTCAAGCACCGCTTGCCCACCCGCAGCACCCTGCGCGCCCGCGGCTTGCTCCGCCCGAAGCCTCTCCACCAGCGGTTGACCCGATTGAACCCTTCCTTGAGAGCCGCGGCTGACTTGGCCATTACTGAATCCTCCAGCTGGGAAGGAGAGAGGGAGGCAGGGAGGGAGGGAGAGGGGAGGGGAGGGACGGAGGGAATGGATGAAAAGGCAGCAGCGGTTGATTTTCGTGAAGATGCAGTTGAGAAATGCCGTGGACGGACTTCATCACTTACGAAGCTGACCTACAGGCTGTATATTTCCGGTTCTCTTCATGGTATGGTATCAGAGCACATAGGCTCATGCCACTCTCGGATCCACTCTATTCCTTCCACTCATGAGCAAGGAAAAAATGGAGGCCCTTCTAAAAACTCTCGTGAGGAAGAAAAAGAGGGAGGGGGCAGCAGCGGTTGGCTCACCTGCTGTCCTGGAGGCCTGCATTCCATAGGTGTGTTGGTGCTGTGTTAGTGCTGTGTTAGTGCTGTGACCAGCAAAATGCCCCAGCCGTCCTAGAGCCATCCTCAGTGCACACAGCAAGCAGACTCCTCTTGAGTCCAGTCATAAACCTCACCACCGACACCAACCGCTACTCTCTTCTCTCTTCAACTCTCACCGCTACACAGCCGCCCTCAGCCCCCCATGCAAGGAGGCAGCCTTGTGAGTCCACTCAAACACCTTACGAGACGCCTTAAGGACTCACGGAACAAAGCACCCAACCACACGCTATTCTTTGCGCTACATAGCCGTCCTCTGCCCCCAACATGAGCAGGTGGAGCTGCAGCCTTCCTGGTTTCCAGTAGCCCGTTGAGAGGCGCAGCAGCACGTTGCTTGAGAGTCTACTAACACCCCTTTTCAGATGTCTCAAGAACCACCAAAGACGGCCCAATCCTATTCTCTCACCGTTACATAGCCATCCTCTGCTCCCAGCATGAGCAGGTGGCGCTGCAGCCTTCCTGGTTTCCAGTAGCCCGTTGAGAGGCGCAGCAGCACGTTGCTTGAGAGTCTACTAACACCCCTTTTCAGACGTCTCAAGAACCACCAAAGACGACCCAATCCTATTCTCTCACCGTTACATAGCCATCCTCTGCTCCCAGCATGAGCAGGTGGCGCTGCAGCCTTCCTGGTTTCCAGTAGCCCGTTGAGAGGCGCAGCAGCACGTTGCGCAGCACATACCACATGTCCACTGGGAATGCCGGTGATTCTTCTGTGGATTTCTGGTTGGAGAGGAGTAGGGTGGGGGAAGGGAGGAAGGGAGAGAATGAGGAGGGGAGGAATCAGTTCTTCAAGTATCCAGTGGTGCGTGGCGAGGCGCAGCCGCACGTTGTGCAGCACATAACACAAGTCCATGGGGAGCGCTGGCGACTCGTACGTGGATTTCTGGTTGCAAGGAATGGAGGGACGAGGGAGAGGGCAATGGCAGGGAAGAGGGGTTGGGACGGAGAAGGGGGGGGCGGTTGGCATAGGGGGGAAGGCAAGGGGGGAGGCGTGTGAGCGGACTGAAGGCAACTCTGCACTTCCCAGAATCTGTTTTTTGAGAATTCTTAAAAATAAAAAAAAGCGATGCGATGCAATGCAATGCAATGACGTGTGGTGAGTCAAGCGACGGAACTTGACCAAGGAACGGGGAGGTCGACGAGGTAGGAGCTTACTCTGACTTCCAAGAAAGCATCGGCAACAATGGCAATGAGCACGTTGAGCATGACAAAGACCATCACGCTGATGTAGGCCACCCAGAAAGATGCGATGGTGTGGGTAGGATGGTTGAAAGGAACATGAGCAATGGACGTACCCTAACTTCCAGGAAGGCATCCACCACAATGGCAATGAGCACGTTGAGCATGACGAAGACCATGACGCTGATGTAGGCCACCCAGAAGATGATGGCAGCTGTGAGGTTCCACCCCTCCAGCTGAATGAAGAAGTAGCCTGTGCTGTTGTCGTTGATTAGGATGAGGAAGCACGACACCATGGACATGGCCACTGTGCTGAACTGTTGGGAGGAGAGAGAGGGGAGAGAACATGGAAGAGAGAATGGGTTGGTGGATGGCCATGGGAAGAGGGAGGGAAGGAGTACCCGGTGCTGTTGTCGTTGGTAAGAATGAGGAAGCACGATACCAAGGACATTGCCACTGTGCTGAACTGTTGGAGGGGAGAGAGGGAGGACAAGAGCGCACAGGGGAAAGTGTGGGCCAGGAATGAAACTTGCTGCAGGAATCTTGATACCGTCGACATGGCCACGAGAGAGAGAAAAACACGATGGCCCAGAGCAGGAAGAAATGCACGAGGGCGGGGAAGACACCTCCACACACCTGCTGCACTGCACCTGCCAACCGAACTGTACCGGCTAGCACCGCTCTGTACCTGCTCCAGAGTGCGGCCGAACACGACGTATGCGTAGAGTGAGAAGCCGATGAACATGATGGCCCAGAGCAGGAAGAAATGCACGAGGGCGGGGAAGATTACCCACCCACCCAACTACTGCACTGCACCTGCCAACACAATGGTACCGGCTAGCACCGCTCTGTACCTGCTCCAGAGTGCGGCCGAACACGACGTATGCGTAGAGTGAGAAGCCGATGAACATGATGGCCCAGAGCAGGAAGAAATGCACGAGGGTGGGGAAGATTACCCACCCACCCAACTACTGCACTGCACCTGCCAACACAATGGTACCGGCTAGCACCGCTCTGTACCTGCTCCAGAGTGCGGCCGAACACGACGTATGCGTAGAGTGAGAAGCCGATGAACATGATGGCCCAGAGCAGGAAGAAATGCACGAGGGCGGGGAAGATTACCCACCCACCCAACTACTGCACTGCACCTGCCAACCCAATGGTACCGGCTAGCACCGCTCTGTACCTGCTCCAGAGTGCGGCCGAACACGACGTATGCGTAGAGTGAGAAGCCGATGAACATGATGGCCCAGAGCAGGAAGAAATGCACGAGGGCGGGGAAGGCGGCCACCATGGTGCGCGTGAGGATGGCAATGCGCGGCTGGAAGTCCATCAGCTTGAGGAGGCGCAGCAGGAAGAGGAAGACGCTGGGGAAGCGGCGGGAAAATGGGGATGAAAGGGTAAATGAGGATGTCAAAGAGTGGCTGGATTTCCATCAGCTTGAACCGACGGAGGGGGAGGAGAAAGATGGTGGCGGATGGCACGATGTGTGAGAGAGAAAACAAGGACATCCAGAGACGGCCAAGAACGCACGAAAGGGCGGCATTTCAAGCTGCCCTTGGCACCACTATCACTCAGCTTCCTCCTCACTCACTCTTCCTGCAGACCACACTCACTTGATTCCCTGCAGCGACACTCACTTGATTCCATGCAGTGACACGAGGATGGAGCGCCGCTGCATGAGATTGCTCTGACGATGCTCGCTCACTGACACTCACTTGATGCCCTGCTGCAGCACAACGTACGGATAAATCTCTGTACCATTGCTCTCAGGGACTCACTCGATGCCCTGCAGCGATATTGAAGTCACTTAGTGATTTCAACACCCTCACTTGATCCCCTGCAGCGACACAAGGATGGAGCGCGACACCACTGCAAGAGGATGCTTTATCATTGCTCTCAGAGACTCACTCACTTGATGCCCTGCAGCGACACTCACTTGATCCCCTGCAGCGACACGAGGATGGATCGCCACTGCACGAGGTTGCGAATGGAGTCGTACACTGCCTGCGCTTGCTCGTAGCCCACCGGGGGGTACTGCAGCTGTTGGGTGGGTGGGGAGTAAGCGGATGGAGGGAGAAGAAAAAAAGGGGGAGGGAAAACGCAGGAATAAGAGAACAAAAAGGGCACACGATGTGGAAAGACTCACCCCAAGGCCTATGCACGTTGCATTGGAAAAACCTTACCCGCCGCCAGACGAAGGCCGAGTTCCCTGTGACGTAGATGTCGTAGCGAGGCTGCACGTGGAAGGAGCCGGGCAGCTGCCCCATGCACGACACAAGTAAATATGCTTTCTACGCGGCAAGACATGTGGTGTGTCAGCCCATCCCGCAAGGCATGCTGCATGAAAGGACTTACTCGCCAGACAAAGGGCGAGTCCCCTGTGACGTAGATGTCATAGCGAGGCTGCACCTGGAAGCCTCCAGCCATCTGCACTGATATGATGAACCTGCGCGTGGGAAGGAGTACGTGGGGGTTAAGTGGGATGTTGTGGAGACAAGGAGGAGATGAGATGCTTTGAGACGCCAGTTGCACTGACTTTTGAGGCGCCTCAAAAGTCGTCTCTCTACAAAAAAGTTGTTCACTTGCTCTCACCACATGATGATGCCATGCCTCACCACATGACGATGCCATGTCTCACCACATGATGATGCCATGTCTCACCACATGATGATGCCATGTCTCACCACATGATGATGCCATGTCTCACCACATGATGATGCCATGTCTCACCACATGGTGATGCCATGGCTCACCACATGATGGTGCCATGTCTCACCACATGATGATTCCATGTCTCACCACATGATGATGCCATGTCTCACCACATGATGATGCCATGTCTCACCACATGGTGATGCCATGGCTCACCACATGATGGTGCCATGTCTCACCACATGGTGATGCCATGTCTCACCACATGATGATGCCATGGCTCACCACATGGTGATGCCATGTCTCACCACGTGATGATGCCATGGCTCACCACATGATGATGCCATGTCTCACCACATGATGATGCCATGTCTCACCACATGATGATGCCATGTCTCACCACATGATGATGCCATGTCTCACCACATGATGATGCCATGACTCACCACATGATGATGCCATGTCTCACCACGTGATGATGCCATGTCTCACCACATGATGATGCCACGTCTCACCACACGATGATGCCATGTCTCACCACCTGATGATGCCATGACTCACCACATGATGATGCCGATGAATTGGATGGTGAGAGAGAGCACATCCAGCCAGTTCCACAGCGTCCGGAAGTATGAAAAGATCTGAGGGGATGGGGGGAAGGGAAGTGGAGTGGAGGGGAGGGAGAGACTGCAAGGTTGCGTAAGGGAGAAGGAATGGCATTGGTAAAGAAGGAAGGCCAGAAATTATTATTGCGGTATTTCACTGCAAGGTTGCGAAAGTCGAGGCGAGGAAAGGCGAGCATCAAATTACAGAAGCAGAACAGAACCCATCTCAGTCACTCTCCCGGTTTCGAGCCATCGGAGGAGCACAACTGAGCTCACGCACTCACCCTGCCGGTCTCCAGCCAGCACTGAAACGCCTCCACGAGCTCCTCTATGAGGTTCCACACCACGGCGCACACATACAGCACCGTCACCGTCAAACCAGGTGCATCCCAGCCCTTTCAGCCCAGCCAGAACCAACAGACAAGCCGCTCACTCACTCACTCACTCACTCACTCACGCACTCACGCACTCACCCTGCCGGTCTCCAGCCAGCACTGAAACGCCTCCACGAGCTCCTCTATGAGGTTCCACACCACGGCGCACACATACAGCACCGTCACTGTCAGCCGCACCCAGTCCGCACTGGAGGAGTAGAGCTCCACGTCTACTGGGTCCACGCTGTACGTCACTGCTATCTTGCCGCCGATCTGATGGGACGGGAGGCAGGGAGAGAAAGATACCAGGTGAACTCAACTGTCACCTCAGGACACAACGGGAGGGAGGAGTAGAGCTCCACGTCTACCGGGTCCACGCTGTATGTCACCGCTATCTTGCCCCCGATCTGTGGGGAGGGAGTGGGTGATGGGTCGTTTTTAAAGGCCGCTCACTAACAGACCACACCACGGCGCACACAGCACCAAAACTGTGTGATGAGGCACACCCAGTCGGCACTGGACGAGTAGAGTTCCACGTTTCCCAGGTCCACGTGGCATGTCACTGTGATCCTGCCGCCGATTCTGTGGGGAGGGGGAAAAATAGTATACTCTCAGGAACCTCTCTGATTGACAAAGTTTAGTGGCTTTGTTGTGCACGACAGGTCGGCACACATGATTGCTCATAACAACGCGTGCGCGATGCGATGCCACAACAAGGGGCTGTATGTACAGAACATGGGACACGAATGGTGGAGGTGCATACTAACCTCAAAGCTTATTTTTTTAACTGACTTAAAAATCGCCTCACGGGACAAGAATGGAGGAGGTGTATACTGACCTCAAAGTTGAGACGCACGGTGGTGTACACAAAGAGACTGGAGTCGCCTGTGGTTATGGGTGGGTGGGTGGGTGGTGCAACAGGGTTACAGGGGTTACATGAGAGAAGGAACAATGCATGAGTCGATACAGCAGAGGGTGACTTTTGAGGCGCCTCAAAAGGGTGGTGCAACAAGGGGCTGTAGAAGAGAAAGAGGTTCGTACGTGTCAATGCAAGCACGCACACACCGTTGTAGGTGAGCATGGCGACAGACACGGACTGCGTGGCGTTGTCGATAAAGAAGCTGTCCGCCAAATACTGCAGGCGCCACCCACCCCTGTGGCGTGTGTGGTGAGGTACCAGGTGCGCTGAGGTACCATCACTAGAGTGTGAGCACGGCACGGCACCCTAAAACACGCACCGTTGTACGTGAGCATGGCGACAGACACGGACTGAGTGGCGTTGTCAATAAAGAAGCTGTCCGCCAGATACTGCAGGCGCCGCGTGGCCGCCTCGTTGTCCAGATTGATGTCAAATATCACCGGAAACACCTTCTCGTTCGCCTGGCAGCAGTGGGGTTGGTGGAAAGGGGGAGGTGAAAGGGAAAGGGAGGAGGAATAGGAGGGGTTACCAATGCATGTCGCTGCTTCGTTGTCGAGATTGATGTCAAATATCACCGGAAACACCTTCTCGTTCGCCTGGCAGCAGTGGGGATGCCGGAGAGGGGGGGTGGGGGAAGGAGAAGGAGGGGGGATGTGGAGTGAGGGTTCATCACTGTGTGTTGCCGCCTCAAACATCACTGGGAACACCTGCTCGTTCGCCTGGTGGAAGGGACGCGAGAGGTAGGGGAGGAGACACAAGCGTGTGTGTGGCCGCCTCATTGTCCAGATTGATGTCAAATATCACCGGGAATACCTTCTCGTTTGCCTGGTGGGAGGGAGGGAGAGAGGGAGGGAGGGAGGGAGGGAGGGAGGGAGGGAGGGAGGGAGGGAGGGAGGGAGGGAGGGAGGGAGGGAGGGAGGGAGGGAGGGAGGGAGGGAGGGAGGGAGGGAGGGAGGGAGGGGAGGGGAGGGGAAGCGGGATACAAGAGAGGTTGAAGTCAACTAACAGTGTGTGTGGCTGCCTCGTTGTTCAGTCCAGATTGACGTCGAATATCACTGGGAACACCTTCTCATTCGCCTGGCAGGAAGAGGGAGAAGCAAGTTGGTGGGGGGATACAAGCAAGGGAAATCAATCAACAGTGCATGAGGCCTCCTTGTCATCCCTGGGAGTACCTTCACGGGGGGTGAGTAAGGGAGCAAGAAAGTAAGAGGCGATTATTTATTGCATGTGGGCTGACTCAATGCTCAGTCATGAACTTAGCGTCAAAAGATGATTGCGTGGTGCTATGCCAGGTCACATGCTCACCAGGTTCTCTTCTCGCCGTGTTTCTCGCCGTGTTTCTCGACGTGTTTCTCGCCGTGTTTCTCGCCGTGTTTTGAGACGTCTCAAAGAACACCCTCTTGCCAGGCTGGCAAGAAGAGGCACTCCCTCACTCCCACCTTGGCGACTTGAAAGCCATAGGGCACGCCGTCAGGGCGCGTCGCGATTGGCTGCATGGTGTCCACGTCAGCGCTGGCGAGCGAGTCGTCGAGCGCCAGTTGGGCGTCGGGGGAATAGAGCGAGGAGGAGGGCAGGAAGTGCGGGTTGACGCCAAAGGGGGCGGTGGACGTGCCGTTCATGCAGTTCTGGAAGAGCGAGGAGAACCTGGGGGGTGGTGGAATAGGCGGGGGGGGGAGGGGAGGGGGGAAGGACAGGTGAGAAAGAAAGAGGGCGGGAAGTGCGGGTTCACGGCAACGGGAGCGGTGGATGCGCCATTAATGCAGTGCTGGAAGAGGGAGGAGAACCTGGGGGTTGGTGGAATAGAAGGGAAGAAAAGGAGAGGAGGACAGGGGTGGAGGACAGGAAGTGCGGTTCATGCCAAAGGGGTCTACTTTTGAGAAAGAGAGGGAAATAAAGGATGGGGAGAAGGAGAAGCGAGGGGAGGGAGAAGGAAGGGGATGGTAAGAGAACATGCGGCTGACCTGGATAGTTGTCCGACTGACCTGGATAGTTGTCCGACTGACCTGGATGGCTGGCAGGTTACGGCGTCCCACCGTTTCTGCTCGATTATGAGTCCTATCAACACCCTGCCATGCACAGCATGCCATGCACCACATGCCATGCACCACATGCCATGCACCACCACATGCCATGCACCACCACATGCCATGGACCATGCACCACCACATGCCATGGACATGCCATGCACCACATGCCATGCACCAGCACATACCATACACCATGCACCACGTGCCATGCCATGCTATGCCATGCCATGCCATGCCATGCCATGCCATGCCATGCACCACCATGCTATGCACACGCAATTCACCACACCACATTCCAAGGACCATGCATGATACGCCATGTCACATGCCCCATGCCGCATGCGCATGCGCATGTGCATCCACCATGTGACATCCCACATGCCCCATGCACCATCCTCAATCACACACACCACACACGCAGATTCGCAGGCAGTCAATCAATAGTCAGAAAGCAATAAGAAACCACCCGCTCAAGCCTCTAAATGTATCAGGTTGCCTGATCGGTTAGGGGGTACCCACCCACCCATACTCCTCTCCTCTGCATGCCCCCATGCATCTCACGCATGTCATCGTCTTGCCCCCTAGCTCAGTTGAAATTTCTGCACACCAGTTTTTCTGTGGTCCCCCACCCACCTGCTCCGTTTTGCTCCCCATTCCCAACCTCCTACCACCTCTGCTATGTCCTTCCCCCCTCACCCTCCCCACCTACTTTGTTTTGCCGCCAATCCCCCCTCCTCACACCTGTTCTGCTGCGCGCCCCCTACACCTTCTTCCTTCTCCCCCCCCCCCCCGTTCCTCCATCCCCATCTCAACACCTGTACTGTTGCCCGCCCCTTTTAACCCCTTCTCCCCTCTCCCCCTCCCCCTTCCCCCTCCCTTCTTCCCACTCAACCCTCCTCACCTGTTCTGCTCCGCCACGAAGCGAGACAGCGCCACCTCCTCCGTGCCATTTGCCGATGGGGCTGCTGACGTGGCATTACCAGCAGACGTGGCTGCTGACGTGGCATTACCAGCAGACGTGGCAGCTGACGTGGCATTGGAGAACATGGCGAGGGTGAAGGGGAAGGAGAGGCCCTCCCCTATTGCTGACGTCATGCAGCAAGCTGAGCGGAGGGAGGAGGGTGGAAAGGAGGTGTTGGAAGAGTGGCAAGAAATGAGTGTTGTGCAAGAAGGTTTTTGAGAATTCTCAAAAACAAGAAAAGTTGGCGGAAAAAGAAGTGGCGGGAGGAAAAAAAAAGACCCTCCCTCACTAGCACCTCTCCCACCCATCTTCCCCCCTCCGTATAAGACCAACCCAGCACCCATCACCACCACCCTTAACTCCCCATCTCCACCGCCCTATCACTCACATCCTTCGTCCGACCGAACCTGCCCAGGAGGACAGGGGCAGTACTGCGGGCGGGCCACGAATCCCACCGGACCTAACCCCGAGCCTGGCATCGAGCCCGAGGCTACAGATGCAGGTTCGGGAACGGACGTGGCCGGCAGAGCGCACGCGCAGTCCCCGCCGTCAAAAGAGCACGCGTCGACGTTGCAGGGTGGGTTGCATTTTCCGTCTGCTAGCGAGGAGAGGAGGCAGCCTGGCGCGCATTCTATTGGCTTGCTGGATTGACCAATGGCAGCACGGGAACGAGAGGAGGAGGAGGGGGACGGGGAAGACGCGGAGGAGGAAGAGGGAGGGAGGACGGTGACGGAGCCTCGCATAGGCTCCCCCACGCGTGAACACTCGTAGACGAAGGTTCCGGGTACAGGAAAGACTGTGGTGTAGGAGAAAGGGGTGGGGGGGGACGAGGCAGCAGTGCTGGTGGTGGGACCTGCGATGATAGGAGGGGGAGCAGTGCGGGGGTCAGGGGGGAAAGACGAGGTGAGGGGGGAAAGACGAGGTGAGGGGGGAAAGACGAGGTGAGGAAGGAGACGGGTGAAGGAGTTGAAACTGCAACTGGCCATGCAGAAAAGAGTAAGTTCAGGGAGGCGGGATGATGGATGGAGCCTTGAGTGGGTGAACAAGGGGGTTGAATGTGTGGGTGGGTTCGAGCGATCAGGAATGCGACGGAGCACGGGAGCATGGGAGCATGGGAAAACGACTACACAGGTCCCCCGACTCACTGAGGACACATGGTGCAGGATCAGCAGTGACCGCGTGTGAGCCGTTGATGAGCGTCGCCGTGGTCCCCACGTTCTCCGCACTGCATGCCACGTCAGCACTCACCACCAATCGCCCGCTGCCCATGCCATAGAAAGGCGTGGTTGCTGCGTCTCCGAATCCCGCCACTGAAGGTGGAGGTGAAAGAAAAGGAGGTGCTTGGGGAAGAGGAATCAAGGGGTATCAAGGAATCAAGGAGGGATGCGTGTGACAGGAAGGTGGTGGGAGGGATGCGTGTGACAGGAAGGTGGTGGGAGGGGAGAAAGCAGAAAGTGCAGGACTTCACGGGGCTGGCCTTGCAGGTGAGGGAAGAGGAGGACAGATGCGCACTCCCACCCCCACCAGCATGGCATTGCACTGTATTGGATTTTATTGCATTGCATTGCATTGCATTGCATTGCATTGCATTGCATTGCATTGCATTGCATTGCATTGCATTGCATTGCATTGCATTGCATTGCATTGCATTGCATTGCATTGCATTGCATTGCATTGCATTGCATTGCATTGCATTGCATTGCATTGCATTGCATTGCATTGCATTGCATTGTATTGCATTGTATTGCATTGTATTGCATTGTAAGGCACACGCAGCATGGGTATGAGATTCAGAGGTTGTATGCCCGCCCACCCACCGTTGATGGCGTGGGGCTGTCCGTCCGCCCACACCCACGTGACTCGCTCCCCCACCGGCACGGCATTGCTTGGCATTGCATGGCACGTACACACAGCATCATATTCAGCATTGCAAATGCAGGTGCACCCACCGTTGATGGCGTGGGGTTGTCCGTCCGCCCACACCCATGTGACTCGCTCCCCCACCGGCACGGCATTGCTTGGCATTGCATGGCACGTACACACAGCATCATATTCAGGTCAGCATTGCAAATGCAGGTGCACCCACCGTTGATGGCGTGTGGTTGTCCGTCCGCCCACACCCATGTGACTCGCTCCCCCACCGGCACCACCGTGCTGGGCTGCCTGCTCGTCCCCCACATCACCGTGGGGCCTGTGCCTGGTGCCGAATGGCATGCGATGATGACATGGCGAACATTGCACGCACACAAGGGAGAGACATGAGATGATGGACATGAGACACATGGCAACACCACCGTGCTGGGCTACCTGCTCGCCCCCCACATCACCGTGGGGCCCGTGGCTGGTGGTGGGGCGTGGCATGGCATGGCGTGGCGTGGCATGGCATGGCATGGCATGGCATGGCATGGCGTGGCATGGCATGGCATGGCGTGGCATGGCGTGGCATGGCATGGCATGGCGTGGCATGGCATGGCATGGCGTGGCATGGCGTGGCATGGCATGGCGTGGCATGGCGTGGCATGGCATGGCGTGGCATGGCATGGCGTGGTGTAGACGACAGAGAGCGGAGGCATGTGGCGACACGGAGCGGAGAAGAGGTGATGCAATGACTTCCAACCATTCCCATCCCATGTTAGTGTTAGTCTTCAATCTCACAATTTGTACTTTGTATTTTCTATATCCTAGAGTAGTGTAGTTTGCACATTGTGTTTGGTTGGGTGTACACCTACATCCCAACCAAACCCAAATGTAATCTCCAACCAATCTCCAACCCACCAATTGGAGATTGCCTTGGGATTACCCCCAATCCCTAGAGATTGCCCCCGATTCCCTTCCCCATCCTTTTCCTACCCCTCTTGGATGTACTTAAAGAGCTTCAAGCTCATTACTAATGCATCGCTTCTAAGCCTATTTCTGACATGGTATCAGAGCCCTTCAACCGCATACGCGGATCGTGATCTTCTTACCTCTGCGGATACTCGTCCCGCAAACCTCGGCGAAGCCATCGTCAACCTCGTCGCCGGTGATTCGCGACATTCGTCGGCGGAAATTTTCCCGCTGCACCTTCCCGTCACTTTCGACGGTAATTTATCTGGTAAGCGCATCGTCCGCGCTATAACCTAACGCTCGCTTTCCTCCTCGTCGGGCCGCCGCCCGTCGCCCTGCAGCTTCTCGTCGGGCTGCCGCCCGTCGCCCTGCAGCTTCTCGTCGGGCCGCCGCCCGTCGCCTCGCAGCTTCACGTCGGGCCGCCGCCCGTCGCCCCGCAGCTTCTCGTCGGGCCGCCGCCCGTCGCCCTGCAGCTTCTCGTCGGGCCGCCGCCCGTCGCCTCGCAGCTTCACGTCGGGCCGCCGCCCGTCGCCTCGCAGCTTCTCGTCGGGCTGCCGCCCGTGTATCAGAGCCCTTCAACCGCATACGCGGATCGTGATCTTCTTACCTCTGCGGATACTCGTCCCGCAAACCTCGGCGAAGCCATCGTCAACCTCGTCGCCGGTGATTCGCGACATTCGTCGGCGGAAATTTTCCCGCTGCACCTTCCCGTCACTTTCGACGGTAATTTATCTGGTAAGCGCATCGTCCGCGCTATAACCTAACGCTCGCTTTCCTCCTCGTCGGGCCGCCGCCCGTCGCCCTGCAGCTTCTCGTCGGGCTGCCGCCCGTCGCCCTGCAGCTTCTCGTCGGGCCGCCGCCCGTCGCCTCGCAGCTTCACGTCGGGCCGCCGCCCGTCGCCCCGCAGCTTCTCGTCGGGCCGCCGCCCGTCGCCCTGCAGCTTCTCGTCGGGCCGCCGCCCGTCGCCCTGCAGCTTCTCGTCGGGCCGCCGCCCGTCGCCTCGCAGCTTCTCGTCGGGCTGCCGCCCGTCGCCCTGCAGCTTCTCGTCGGGCCGCCGCCCGTCGCCCCGCAGCTTCACGTCGGGCTGCCGCCCGTCGCCCCGCATCTGCACTCCTACCCCTTCCCCCTTCCCGCAGCTGAACAGGTGCAGCAGCGCAGCCGAGCAGCCGTGTAGCCGCGAAGCAGAGCAGCCGTGTAGCCGCGAAGTTCCTATCGGTGACTTAAGAGCGGCGCTCCGCGCGAGAAGGGGTCTCCACCATGGCTCTCTCGTCTTCCACCATGGCGAACCCCATCACCCCGCTCCGCCTTGAAGCTGATGGCTCTAGCTCCAACTTCAAGGCGTGGAGCTACGGAGTTGACAAGCACCTCCTGAGCCGTGACGTGCAGGGCCTTGACCTCAAGGACGTCCTCCTCAACCGTGGCAAGGGGAAACAGCCTACTATTCCCCGTGAGCCGACCGAATCTCCAAGTGATACTGACGTGAGGGCGTACGAGGAGGCTGTTGAGAAGTACCGGAAATGGGAGAAGGCCGATGCTGCCATCATCAGCGTCTTCATCGCCTCCACCCCTCCCGAACTTGTCAACACGTTCCATAACTACCCTACCTCCAACGCCATCTGGAAGTACCTCCAGGATCGGTTCATGAACAAGACGGCGGTCGGCGTGGCCATTCTCATCCCTAGCATGTTTCAGGTCCGCCTTGAGGACTGCTCGGGAATGGCCGATTACATTGCCAAGGTGCAGACCATTCATGGCGAACTCAAGGAGCTGGGTATAGTCTTCCCCGAGCAAGCCCCTGCAGCCGCCCTACTTGTTGGACTCACCTCGGCATATGAGGTCACGAGGAAGATGCTCCTCACACTCTCAGCAGAGGACCTCACCTTTGCTAAGGTCTCCACCGCACTCCTCTCTGCCGAGAAAGACTCCACGGCTCAGGCCAAGGCGTACGCTATCCGCGCTCCCATGCCTCAAGCAAGTGTCGCAGCGGCTCTCGCCTCGGCGCCCTTCCAGCGCAACCGCTTTCCTCCGTGCCCCTACGTCGTCAAGTATGGGAATCGCAAGGGACAAGTGTGTGGTGGCACTAACCACCCCCTCGCCACGTGCTTCAAGAAGAAAGACGACGAATGGTACGCCATTCACGGAGTGGACAAGAAGCCGCCGAATTGGATGCGCTCTCGCAAGGCCAACCTAGTTGAGGTCCAGGACCCCGCTTCGACTAGTGCTAGTGATGCTGCTCCTGCTGATGTGCGTATCAACCTGTTGTTCCCTGGCACTGCCATGATTAATGAAGCTACCTCACAGTACATCGGCTCATCACACGCACCACAATACATAGAGTTCACACTCGATAGCGGGGCCACTCACACCGTGCTCAAGGAGACCCTCTCCTTCAAACCTTACCCAACACCTATCCCTCTCTTAGGAGCTGACTCAAGCTTCACCACCCTCGCCAAGGGTACCTCCACAGTCCCATGCCCCGCCTTCCCATCCGGCACTGTCACTGGCATGTGCGTGCCTTCACTGCGTCACAATCTAGTTGCCCAAACAGAAATTCAGGAGGCAGGGCTACGCACCATCTTCCCAGAGAACGAGGACTATTGCGACATCATCGATCCACGCACCAACAAAACTCTGGCCCGCTACACCCTCAACAGCAACGGCCTCTACACGCTACGCGTCCCTCTCCCACAGGTGTCAACCACCCAAGCACAGGCCACTATCACACCATGCTCATGTCGCACCCTCTCCAACCCGACCATCCTCTACCACCATCGGCTCGGGCACCCAAATTTCCGCACTCTTGCTGACATGGCCTCCAAGAAACTTCTCCTCGGCCTGCCAGCCGCACTTCCCCCACCACCTGACTCACCAGCTCCCACGTGCCTTGATTGCACCAAGAGCAAACTGCGCCAACAACCCCATGCTGCCTCACCCACAATCGCTGCAGCACCACTGGACCTCGTGCACATGGACGTCTGGGGCCCTGCCCCTGTTCTCGCACGAGGTGGCTATCGCTACTTCCTTATCATTGTGGATGACCACTCCCGCTATGTCTCTGTTCACCTCCTCCACACTAAGGCTGAGGCACCCGAGGTCATCATAGCGTGGGTCAAGCAGGCACAGACCACTTTTGACCGCAAGGTCAAGCGCCTTCACTCGGATGGGGGGGGTGAGTTCTGCAACGACAAGCTCAAAGCCTTCTGCTCCTCCGAAGGCATCCAGCAAAACTTCACCCTCCCTGACAGCCCTCAACAGAACGGCATAGCTGAGAGCCGCAACCACACCCTGGTGCAGATCACTCGGTGCCTCCTCAGCCACTCCAACGCTCCTCACTCTCTTTGGGGGTACGCTCTCTACCACGCTGCCCTCCTCTACAACCTTTACCCCCACCCGCACCTTCCCGACACCACTCCAACCACACTCTGGCTCGGGAAAACGCCCACTGCTCGCTCTCTTCGCGTTTGGGGATGCACCGCCTATGTCCTCCTCAACCCTCAGGCTCGACGGCATAACGGTGGCAAGCTCGGTCCCAAGACTCAGACGTGCATCTACCTCGGGCACAACGCCGACTCACCTGACTACCTCTTCCTCAATCCCTCCACTCACCAGTTGGTCAGGAGCCGTGACGTTGTCTTTGATGAGACCCGCCCATTCTACTCCCCTTCGGGACGGGACCCTCTCCCTGATCCACCCTCCCTCGTGTGGGCAGACTTTGATGCGCCTCCCGACCTCCCGCCTGCTCCTGCTCCCTCACCTCCTCCCTCTCCTGCCATCGCACCATCTCCCTCTGAGGTCACTGACCCGGCCTCACCGGTGTCTTCGGCAGCTGCTCCTCCCTCCCCCTCACCTTCCCCACTTCCCGCTGCGCCGCCCCCTCCGAGCGCACCTATCACCTACCATCGGCGGTCCCACCCTCCGGCCCCACCTCCTCCCCCGGCTCCCCCCACCACAGAGGAACCCGCTCTCCCACAGTCGCCCGAGCTGATCACGTACCGCCGGCGACCCCTTCCCCCGCCCAAGCCTGCTAAGTCACCCTCTCCGACCCCGCCAGCCCCACCCTCTTCCCCGGTGGCTCATGGCACTCGCTCACATCGCGCTACTCTTCCACTCGCGATGGTTCTTCGATACACCGCGATCACACCGCCTCCTCCTGCTGGGGGGGATGTGCCCTCTACCCTTCTAGAAGACAGGCATGAGGAACTGTGTGATCTCCATGCAGTCCTTCCTCAGCTCTCACACATCTTCCCCGACATCACTGGCTCACCCTCCCTCAACTTCGCGGAGAACCCGACCATCCCTATCCCTCTCACCGTCCAAGAGGCTCTCTCAGGCCCTCATTCTGCCAAATGGCGTGCTGCCATGGACGCGGAGATTGCAGCATTCACCCGCAACCACTCCTTCGACGACGAGACTCCACCTCCAGGAGTCAACATCGTCGGGGGCAAGTGGTTGTTCCGTGTAAAACAGCTCCCAGACGAGGCACCGGTGTTTAAAGCGCGCTACGTAGCCAAGGGCTTCACCCAGCAGCAGTACCGCGACTTCTTCCTAACCTTCTCCCCCACATCCAAACCTCCCACCATTCGTACGCTCATGGATGTCGCAGCTCGAGAAGACTTCGAGATCAAATCCATGGATGCCTCATCCGCCTTCCTACAAGGACGTCTCAAGGAGACAGTGTTCATGGACAGACCAGAAGGCTTCCCAGGAGATTTCCCTCCCAACACTGTCTGGAAGCTGAATCGCCCCGTCTACGGCCTTAAGCAAGCCCCTCGCGAATGGCACAACAAGGTGAAAGAAGTCCTCCTCTCCCTGGACTTCCACCCTTCAACTGCTGACCCGACTCTCTTCATCCGCCGTCATTCTGAGCCCTTCTACATCCTAGTCTACGTGGATGATTTCATCCTCGTGGCCAAGGACTCGGCCCAGATGACCTCAGTCCAGGCAGCCCTAAGCAAGGCTCTCCAGATGAAAGACCTCGGTGACCTCAAGCACTACCTGGGGATGGAGATCACTCGTGATCGCAAGGCTCGCACCATCTCACTCTCCCAGGAGTTCTACATCGACAATGTGCTCAAGCGATTTGAGATGGAGCTATGCACACCTGTTGCCACCCCGCTGCCGCTGCAACACCTCCTCACAGCTCCAGCGGTACCCACACCAGAGGCCTGCTCTGAGCCATACCCGGAGCTTGTTGGGTCCCTCATGTACGCCATGATGTGCACCCGGCCAGACCTGGCCTATCCTGTCAGTGTCCTCTCTCGCTACGTGGCCCCTGGACGCTTCACTGACCTTCACTGGAAGGCAGCCAAGCGGGTGTTGCGCTATCTTCAGGGCACCAAGTCTCACGTCCTCACACTCGGTGGGCTCTCCCCTCCTCGCCTAGAGGGTTACACCGACTCCTCCTGGGCTGATGACCAGACCGACCGACGCTCCTCTCAGGGGTACTGCTTCACCCTTGGGAGCGGAATTGTCAGTTGGCGCTCCACCAGGTCGTCTGCAGTCTCCCTCTCCTCATGTGAGGCAGAGCTCTACGCAGGCACCATGGCTGCTCAGGAGGCTCGTTGGCTCACCTTCCTCCTCCAGGAACTTGGTTTCCCACAGTCCGCCCCTACCCTCTGGTGTGACAACCAGAGTACCATCCACATCTCTCAAGACCCTGTGTATCACACCCGCACCAAGCACATTGAACTCCGGCACTTCTTCATCCGTGACCTTGTCCAACAAGAGCAGTTGAAAGTGGAATACGTTGCATCTGACTGCAACCTGGCTGATCTGTTCACCAAGCCCCTTGGGAAAGTTCCCCACCACCGTCTCCTTGGCGCCATGGGGCTCTGTGCTCCACCCTCTCTACCCTGAGTTCGATTGACGCCTATGGGGGGGTGTTAGTGTTAGTCTTCAATCTCACAATTTGTACTTTGTATTTTCTATATCCTAGAGTAGTGTAGTTTGCACATTGTGTTTGGTTGGGTGTACACCTACATCCCAACCAAACCCAAATGTAATCTCCAACCAATCTCCAACCCACCAATTGGAGATTGCCTTGGGATTACCCCCAATCCCTAGAGATTGCCCCCGATTCCCTTCCCCATCCTTTTCCTACCCCTCTTGGATGTACTTAAAGAGCTTCAAGCTCATTACTAATGCATCGCTTCTAAGCCTATTTCTGACATCCCATCCCCACACTCACCGGTGGTGCCACAGGAAGGCAGAGACGGGTCCACAACCACAGGGTCGAGCGCATGCAGCAGCCGGGCGGCATCTGCCACGTCATCGTCCGGCAACAGGACGACGGACTTGAGCGCTGCGGTGAGGAGAAGGACGAAACGCGCCGCCTGGTCCCGAGACAAGCGGTGCATCTCATTGCTGCAGTGGTTATGAACAGATTTGTGATCAAAAGTTGAAGAATGAGAAATGGAGGGACGTGGAACATTAATAAATGCCTGATACTGCAGTGGGTATGTATGCACAGAACTGTGATTGTGCGTTGAAGAATAAATGAGCTGGGCACGTGGATGGTGCACGCCGGATTGTTCGATTGAGTAGGGAAAGTAAGGGAACAGCAAACAGCATCATAGTGTCAGGGTAGTGAGGTGAGGCAGAGAGTGAAGGGAGAGTAAGGTGGATGAAGGTGATTCAAACAGCAAACGGCCCCACTGCGTTGCAACGCTGTATTGTGATCATCTGAGTTAAACCACGGATCAGCAACTCACAGCGCAACAGTCCACGGCACATCGCCCGCCAGCTCAGAAGCAGACATCAGCTGCCGCCCGTCCCACGATGACGTGTACTTGCACTCGGGCACTTTCCGAGCAGCTTCCTCCCCCGCAAACAACACGCAGAGGAAAGCAGCGAGGCGGGACCGAGAGGACGGGGAGAGGATGAGAGGAGGGAGGATAGCGTGGAAGGAGGGGCGGGTGGAGCGGCGAGAGGAAGCCCGAGAGGAGCGAGGGGGGGGAGAGGAGGGAGAGGAGGGAGAGGAGGGGTTGGCCCGAGGGGAGAAGAGGGGGGAGCCAACGAGGCAATCGTCCTTGACAGCTGTGTAGAGGGCCCTGGCGACTGCCACGTGGAGGCTCGTGATTCGCTGAGCGTCGGTGGAGCCGAGGTGGGTCCAGATGCTTGTGGCGTTGCCTGGGAGGGAAGGAGCGTGGTGGGGGAGAGGGGAAGGGGTGGGGTGGTTAGGAGGTGCAGTTGTAGGAATGCGTGTTCCTGGAGAAGAGGCAGGGAGTGGTGGTGTGATGGGAAACAAACAAATCGACACTAGTGCGTCTTTTTGGTGCTTCAAAGTACAGGATTTCCAATTTGGGAATCACTTTTGAGAAGTCTCAACAGGATTTCCAGGGCACCTCACCTCGCAAAGAAGGGCCGACACTCATGCATTCTTACCCACCAGGCAAAGCAGCAAGCCAAGAGGCAACAGCAGCAGTAGCAGTGTCCTCTGCCAGGCGTTTCCGGCCTTGGAGCCGAGCCTGCTGCCGAGCCTGGTGCCACGAAGAGGTTTGGCTGACAGCCTGTGCTGCCCGCTCCCAGAGGCTCCGAGCCTTCCTCTGAGGAATCGGAAGGTGTGAGAATGGGTAGGAAATGGGCGAGGAATGGGTGAGAAGGGTTGAGCAGGGGTGCGAACCTAAGAAAGGTGCGAGAAAAGGAGCATTAGGGGAGGGATGAGGTGAAAGGCAGGAAGGAGCAGACACGGGGAGACGGCAGAAACAGAGTAGTCTGATCCTGATGCAATGGATTGGGATGCCGAGACGACCGAGACGAAAAGAAGAGGGAGAAAAAGGAGGCAAGGGTGTGACGGCAGATGAGAAAAGGGTAGAGAGGGGCAATATAATTGGAACACAACACAATAAGAAAGATGCACAGGAGAGAGGACAGGAGGCGACGGAAGAAGGGTTTTGGGAACGTGCGAGGATGAATGGAAGGGGGGACCTGTGGGGTGTTTGCCTACCCCTGCGGTGAGCGTTGAGTTGGGGGGATCTGCAAGAGCGACAAGGCACGATGACAGAGGAAAGGAGGAAAGAAGAGGAGGGCAAGAGAGTGATTAGGAGAGGAGATAAGAGGGGAGGAGAGGCGAGGAGAGGGGAGAGAGGAGGCGAGAGAAGAGAAGAGAAGAGAAGGGGCGATGACGGGAGGAGACAAGGGAGAAGGGAGGGGGACAGGAGGGGAGAGGAAACAAGACGAGCCAAGACAAGAGGAGACGAGAGACAGCAAGATAATGCAAAAGAGTGTTTATACTTCATGCGCATTCGGGAGTGGGCGTGTGCGTGTGCGTGTGCGTGCGCGTGCGCGCGTGGGCGTGCGCGCGTGGGCGCGTGGGCGCGTGGGCATGTGGGCCTCTGTGTGTGTGTGTGTGTGTGTGTGTGTGTGTGTGTGTGTGTGTGTGTGTGTGTGTGTGTGTGTGTGTGTGTGTGTGTGTGTGTGTGTGTGTGTGTATGTGTGTGTGTGTGTGTGTGTGTGTGTGTGTGTGCGTGTGTGCGTGTGTGCGTGTGTGTGTGTGTGTGTGTGTGTGTGCTTTTTTTTTCTTTTTAATCCGGTTGGGACTAACTCACACAAGCAATAAGTAAGGAAGCAAGGAAGGTGAAGGAGCAAGAGAGGGAGAAATGGACAGAGCAAGTGAGAGAGAGCACAAGAACGCTGCAGAGAGAGGATGAGAGAGCAAGCAAGAGAGCATGAAGGCTCACAGGAGCACTGGAAGCCTGCAAGGCTGTCTGCTGTGGCGTTGATTATCTGTGGAGAGCGAGGAGCACAGCGTAGAGGGGCATAGTGACAGCGGCAGAGGGGCAGAGCGGCAGAGGGGCAGAGGTGCAGAGGGGCAGGGCTTAGAATTTGAGGCGGGAGGCAACATGGGCAGAGGAGGCTTTAGGGATGGTGGCAGTGGGGACGGACTTGAAACGAGAGTGGATGAGTGTGCTATTGTGATAGAGAGAGCGAGGGAGGGAGGGAGTGAATGTGAGGGAAAGGCGAAAAGATGCACTCACAGCAGTACATTATACATCGCACATCAAAAAGGTTAAGAGAAAAGCTGCGAACGCCAGGAAAGGCAGGGAGAAACTGTTGTTGCAGGCTGAGGCACATGCGCCAAAGAGGGGGCCAAGCCAAGAAGGCCTGCTAGCGTGGTGCCCTGACTGACCTATGCATTTGACCCTTGAGTCAACTCAAACCTCATGGGCTTACCTCACCACATGAGAAGTCGCCAAAGGGCAGGAAGGGCAGGGATGAGTTGTCGTTGCAGGCAGAGGCGCAGGTGACAAAGAGCGAGGAGAGAGCTGCAGGGGAGTACCCTCCAGCCCCACAGTAGTTGGCCAGACAGCCCGCAAAGCGCGAGCATGCCTGCCGGCAGGTAGGAGCGGAGGGGGCAGGAAGATGATGAGGGGGCGAGAAAGGGGGGGGAACTTGGGGACAAAGTGCGAGGAAAGGGCGGCAGGGGAGTACCCTCCAGCCCCACAGTAGCTGGCCAGACAGCCTGCAAAGCGCGAGCATGCCTGCCGGCAGGTAGGAGAGGAGGGGGCGAAAATGGGGGGAGAACTTGGGGACAAGGTGAGAGAGGGCTGCAGGGGAGTACCCTCCAGGCCCACAGTAGCTGGCCAGACAGACAGCCTGCAAAGCGCGAGCAAGCCTGCCGGCAGGTAGGAGCGGAGGGGGCAGGTAGGTGATGAGGGGGCGAGAAGGGGGGGGGAACTTGGGGACAAAGTGCGAGGAGGGGGCGGCAGGGGAGTACCCTCCAGCCCCCACAGTAGCTGGCCAGACAGCCTGCAAAGCGCGAGCAAGCCTGCAGGCAGGAAGGCAAAGGGAGAAGCGCAAAGAGAGGGGTGTGTAGGAAGGTGTGACACTGACACTCTCACTCACTAAATCAGGAGGCATCTCTCACTCACATATCCTCTCACTCACACTCACTTCCACTGACATCACACTATCTCACACTCTCTCACACTGTTCCACACTCTCTCACTCACCGATCGGCATTCAGACAAGGGAGTGAGGTCTGAAGTTTGGCACCCTCCCCACGTCACCAGCACCTTCCCAATGCCGCCAATCCCGGCACTGCTGCCGCTGTCGCTGCCGCCACTGCCGCTGCTGCTACTGTTGCTGCTGCTGTTTCCGCTGCTGCCACCGCCAATACCAGCAGCGGCCACTGCAGCAGCAGCGAAAGCGGCATTTCGGCTGCCGGTAAGTCGGACGGTACCGGCGACGCCTCCCCCCGGCGCATTGAGCAGCAGAGACCATGAGCCGTCAGGCAGTGAAAGCGTGACCTGCGTGTCCGATGCCAGCTCTGTGAACTGCTGGTCCTCTGCGTACCTGGTGAGAGAAAAAGGGTGAAACGGGGTGACAAGGGGTGAAAAGGGGTGAAAATTGGTGCCGGGAACAGAGGGAGCAGTTGCAACATGTCGTAAAGGAGTGATTGTGAACTTGGATGTTTGATGCCAGCACTTTAAACTGCGAGTCCTCTGAGCACCTGGTGAGGTGAGAGGGGGGGAGGAGTGGAAAGGAGGGAGGAGCACGGAAAGAGCAGAGAGGGTGGGGGAAGGGAATCGGGAGATAGCAGCAGCGAAGGGGGCAAAGGGTACCAGCAGAGGAAGGAGGGCGGAAAGGCATACCAGCAGAGAAAGGAGGGTGGAAAGGCTTACCAGCAGAGAGGGGTGGGGACATCGCGGCAGAGGTTCCAGGAGGAGGCAGCAGCGTCCAAGGCAGAGTGGAAGTCGGTGGTGAGGTGCACTGTCACGCTCGTCACTGCACTCCACCGAGCAGCTAAGAGGTGGAGAGGCGAGCGCGGAGAGCGGGAAAGGCAGGCAGAGGCGCACCGGCAGAGAGGCAAGGGGTGAGATAAGTACGAGCAGAGACCGGAGGGGAGTACTAACCAGCAGAGAGGGGTGGGGGCGTCGCGGCAGAGGTTCCAGGAGGAGGCAGCGGCGTCCAAGGCAGAGTGGAAGTCGGTGGTGAGGTGCACTGTCACGCTCGTCACTGCCGCCAGGTCCCCACAGTCTGCTGAACAGCCAAAGCGGCCGAATGCTTCAAATTCTAGGGGACGCTCGCAGATGCCGTTGCCGCAGGGCGGGTCCTTCCACACCACCTGGTGGGTAAGGGGCGGCGGGCGCGGGGGGGGGGGGAGGTTTGGGGGGAGGGGGAGCAGAACAGGGAGTTTGAGGTGCACTGTCACGCTCGTCACTGCCGCCAGGTCCCCACAGTCTGCCGAGCAGCCAAAGCGACCGAAGGCCTCGAACTCCAAGGGGCGCTCACAGATGCCGTTGCCACAGGGGGGGTCCTTCCACACCACCTGGTGGTTTGTGAGGAGGGAGGGGGGGGGGGGGGGGTGGGGGGGTCGAGAGAGGAGAACGGGGGAGGGTGTGGGCCACACGCTTCGAACTACAAGGGGCGCTCGCAGATGCCGTTGCCACATGGAGGGTCCTTCCACACCACCTGGTGGGTTGCGGGTAAGAGGGGGAGTGGGGTGACGAGCGGGTGGGGAAACGAGGGAGGAGGAGGAAGAGAGCTGAGGAGGGAGGGGGATGGTGGAGAGGGTGTGGGGCAAACGCTTTCAGGATCCAGAGGAAGCTCACAGACTCTACTCTGTTGCCACAGACAGAGGGGGCCCTTTTAAACCAGGCCACCTAGGCTTTAAGGCTGCAGAGAAATTGACTACAAGCACTCTCCATGACGCCTCGCACAGTGGCGGGCAGCGGCCGGCTGCCAGCAGAGCAGGCAGGCAGAAGTGAGCAGAGCTTTCAGGGCCTCTGATAAAAGATGGATCCATGAAGCTCACGGGTGGCTTTTTTTGGACTTGTGGCAGAGCAACTTTTAGGGCTGGAAGGCACAGGTGGTCATGACATGACTGATGAGTCATGACATGACTGATGACTCATGACATGACTGATGAGTCATGACATGACTGATGAGTCATGACATGAGCACACAGAGACGCCATTTCACACCAGGCCTCCGGAACTATGGCGGTGTCACGGTGTCGACAGTCGCACACACACCTGTATGATGCTGTCGTTAAGCCATGAGTAGAAGTCGTCTGGACTGTTCATGGTCATGGATGCCGCTGCCGTGTAGTCCTGACAGCAGAGGGAGGGGGAGGAGAGAGGGTGCGAGCAGGTTTCAGGTTGCAGGGATGAAAACGCCACAGCAAAGCGCAGAGGCGCAGGTTAAAGTTTCAGGAGAGCAGAGGCGCTGCAAAGCAAAAAACGCCATAGCATGGTACAAGAATGAAAACTGTGGTGTGCACACCCGCGCACATCCACCCGCGTGCTCGTGCACGCACACACACACACACACACACACACACACACACACACACACACACCACGCATCCTCGCGACATACCCACCCACCCCGACGCACCGGCGGCAGCAGCACGTTGGTAACGTATGGAGGCGACATGCACGCACAAGCACTCACACATACACACATACACACCCATACACACATGTATATGTGTACGCACCACACGCCTCCGCCCCCCACACCCACACGCACCGGCGGCAGCAGCACGTTGTGCGCGGTGGTGACTTGGTAGCAGATGGAGGCGTCGGCTTGCAGGTAGAGCACGGTGAGGTAGAGGCACGTGTAGCAGAGGAAGAAGAATAGGTTCTTGAAGTTGTCTGTTAGCTCTCCCATGTGCTTCACCCGCTCGTACATGGCTGGGAGGTGGGGGAGGGTCAGAGGGAGGGAAAAACAGAGGGAGGAGGGGGAAAGCACGGTGAGGTGGAGGAAGAAGAATAGGTTCTTGAAGTTGTTAGTTAGCTTCCCCATGTGCTTCACCCGCTCGTACATGGCTGGGGAGAGGGGTGGGGAGGAGGTGGAGAGAACAGGGAGAGGGAGAGAAAATGAGGACGGTGAGGTAGAGGCAGGCGTAACGGAGGAAGAAGAATTGGTTCTTAAAGTTTTTTAGCTCTCCTATGTGCTTCAGTCGCTCGTAGATGGGTGGGGGGTTGTGGGAAGAGGCGGATGGAGGGCATGAGAAAGGGGAGGGGAAAGAGGAGGGGAGTGTGGTGAGGTGGGAGGGGAGAGAGTGGAGGGAGAGCAGAGTGAGGTAGAGGCAGGCGTAGCAGAGGAAGAAGAGGAGGTCCCCAAACACCTGGGTTAACCAATCACCTGACCTGAGCCCGACCAGCACCTCAAGCTCCTGACCTCAACACCCTGAATAACTCCTGGTGGAGTTTCTCCTGACTCCTGAGACATAGTCAAGTCACCTGAGCTCAACCAGCACCTCAAGCTCCTGACGGTTGCACGCACCCTGAATAACCTCCTGGTCGAGCTTCGAGCTGATTCGAGAATCACCTGACTGCTGCACTGCCCGGACCCTGAATAACCTCCTGGTGGGGTTTCTCCTGAGACAGAGACATAATCACCTGAGCGCAACCAGCACCTGAAGCACCCGCACACACGCAGCACGCACCCTGAATAACCTCCTGGTCGAGCTTCTCCCGCTGCTCCACCTCCTCGTTGTACCCGTCGTCCCCCTCCCCGTCCCCCCCGTCCCCCTCGCTCCCGCTCCCCCTGTTCGCAAACGACACCATGCCCCTGCCGCTGCGCGACGCCTTGAGGCTGCGCATGGCCGCCAGATTGACATCGCTGTCGTCTCTAATGGCGTCTTCTGCACCATCTTCTGACTCGCCATCCTCCCCCTCCTCGCCATCCTCCCCATCATCATCATCCGTATCCGTCTCCTCCTTCTCATCATCTGTATCTTCCTCAGTCCCCCCGTCCTCCCGCCCCTCCGCCTGTCCGCCGTCGCGCGCGTCTCGAGGCGCCATCGCGTGACTCCCTCGCGGCTCCGTCGCGAGGCTCTCCCGCGGGGTAAACATCGCCTCGTGATCGTCGTCGCAGTCTAAATACTCCCCGTCATCGTCATCCTCATTGTCGTCATCCCGGAACGCGACGGCCAGCTTCCCTCGCCCATGGTGACGGTTTGGAGAGCCAGCAGACGCGGCATTCGCAGAACTTTCGGCGAGGTCCCTTCTGGATTGACCTACACCGTCGGATCGTTCCCTTCTGGATTGACCTACACCGTCGGATCGTTCCCTTCTGGATTGGCCTACACCGTCGTTTCGTTCCGCGGCTGTTTCTGCGGCTTCGCGCGGCCTCTCCGCTGCGCCAGGGGGATGCCTGGCGAAAAACGGGAATGGCGAAAGGGGACAGCGGGAAACAGACGAGGGTGCGTGGGAGAAGGAAAGCGCCGGCGAGGCTTGGAAGTGTAGACGGATAACGTATTAAAATGATTAATTTGAGAGATAACTTTCAGTCCTTGCAAAACGAGTGTACTACGTACAGAGTGCGTGCAAAGCATGGCGGTACACTCCTACCTAAATCTAGCAGACATTTGAGCGTGTTGCTGCTGTCGTTCCTGACTCTCCCTTCCCAGGTGTGAGAGACGTGACGACCGGCCGACTGATGCCGGCGATAAGACGGCCGCATTATGGTCACGCGGCGTGCCTGACGACGACTGTGCGGAGCTGGGTCGCAGAACGTTCTGACTTGGCGACTGGTTGTCGCGATGCCACCTCACCACAGTCGCTTCCGCCATGGATGATTTTCAAGAAACACAAAAACTTAGCACTCAAAATGAAACGGAGCTGTACATTTTCGCGAGTCACACACACAGGGACGACAGAACAGGACTTCCTGAGTTTAGGACCACCAGCTGATTTACCAGACACTGGTAGAATTTCCTGGAGACTGGGGTGTGGTGTGTCTGGACTGTCAGGATGCGCCAATTGGCGGAGCTGCAAAGTCGCAATCAGCCACCAGATGTATCGGTGCTTCCGTGTTGAAAGGATAGGCGGAAGCTGGGGGGATGGAGGGGAAAGAGATGTGCGGGGGGAGGGGAAAGGGGTGCGCAGCGCAAGAGCACGCTGCAGCGCAGAGATTTGCGGCGGCTGAGAGGTTGGGGGGGGGGAAGCGGGGTGGGTGACTGACGGCAGTGCCGAGCCGAGCCGAGCCGAGACCAGTGCACATCCGCGCCTCGTACGAAACCTAGGGTTCGTCCATCCGCGTTTTAAAGTTTTTCCCGTCCTAATATATGTCTAAGACTGTACGAGATCCTACACAACTCCCTTAATTCTGGTCTGTACATTTAAGCACATTCTTGCTGCATTTGACAAGTGAACAAGCACTACTAATCCGTTTAAAACATCCACTTGATTTGATTACCTTCAGCCCAACGTTGATTGCTGCTATCAAGCTGCCAAACCCCATCAGCAACTGCAGTGCGGTGACAGCTAAGCCTTGGTGTTAGGTGCGTCCACAACCTAGCGCCGTGAGCGGGAGCTCGCGCTTGCTTGACTGATCAGTCGCTCTAGTTGGACGAGTAGAACAATCAGCATGGCGCACAGGATGACATGGGTTGGTTGTATCTTGGACAAGAACTTGTCAGCGTCACCCAGGGTCTGGTTGAGCACCTTCACCTGAGTGAAGACAGGGCCAGAGGAGGGATACGTACTACTTTTGATCCCAAAAGAAGATCTAAGCACACAATCAGAACCACGAAATAATCAGCGATACTGACCATGTTTCTGTGATACGGCCTGACATAACGCCATGCGCCTTCGTTCGGACGAAGACCAATCCGGACAAACAGGAGATACAGCTGAGAGAATTGGTACAAGGAGAAAACACCAGCGAACATCGCCAACGGCGGAGCAAGAAGAATCAAGATCGGCCACATGGCGCTATCCATCGTCGACGAACTATGACTGCGACTGGCGGAGCACTGCGTGCAAAGAACAATAAGTGGAACGCGGATTCACGAGAAAGCTGCGTGCAGAGAACAAGGAGAAAACGCGAATCAACACCAAGCTGCGATTGAATTTTAGAATCCGGAGACTGTGGAGGGAGCCAAGAGCGAGTCTGGCGCGAGATGCATGCAGGCTGTCATGGTCAGGTCAGAACCGTCTGAGAGATCTAGGGCGTGGAGGCCGAGTTGCGGTTTGGGCAGGGGATCAGGGCGTGAAACTCGAGCCAACCACATGCTCCCAGTCCCGACATTAGCTTTCTGTCAAATCGAGTAAAAAATGAAAAGGGGTAATGAAAAGGAGTATAGTCAAATTCTGTTGTGTGATACAGCTGGTTATATAGATGGTCATGTGCAGCTCTGGAAAATTTATAGAAAGAAAAGTATACACTATTATATCCAGTATTTAGAAAAAATCAGGCGCATATTTCAATAAAAATACCATTATTTCTCCAAAATTCATGGTGCATGATGGTTCAAAGTTTTGGATGGAAATATTGAAGAACTTACAAACGGAAAACGATTAGTGTTGTGAACAAGACACTACATCTAGCCAGCTAGCCCATCTCTGCTCTTCCCTTCCCTCCCTTGGTTTTGACGAGCCGCCTCCCCCCCGCCTGCCCCACCACAAACCACCCTCCCTCCCTTGATTTGTTTTCTGGCCGACGCAGCAATCCTCGCTCCCTCTTCTGCATCCACTCTCCACCTTGTAACTTCTCCCGCTGCTCCCTCGCTCTCTCCCCGTCCATGCCGCCTCAGCCCAGTCACAGACACGCCGCCACGGCTCGCAGCAAGGGTCCGCTGCCTGTCCCGCCGCAGGTGAAGGCCAGAAAGCGGCGCGGCACGTGGGGCTTCGGGCGACAGATGCCCGGCGCGTCGCAGGTCCGTTCTGCTCGCTGCGACATCTTTGAATGCGAAATCTAGTGTAACACATACACCTGCTGCGATGTTGTAGAGGCATTCGTCGACAAATGCCCTCCATTCCCCGCGCTTTCCATTCCTCCCATCAGGTCCTCCCGTGCGCGGGAGCGCTCGCCGCCTTCCTCGCGACGCTGCTCCTCGCCTCCGCCGCCGCCTTCTGGCTCGGCGCGCAGCCCGCGGCGGAAGCGCTCCTCCGCTCGCTCCTCGCGCCCTCCCCCCTCTCCGCGCCGACCAACGCCGACGGCAGCGCACCTTCCGCGCGGATCAGCACAGAAGACGAGCCTGGCAATGGCGAGTCTGTTGCTGGCGGAGCCATGCGTGGGACTGAATCTGCACCCGCATCCGCGTTTGGGAGTGCCTCGTTTCTGCTAGAGGAGAACGCGTCCGTGCCTCGGATCCTGGAGTTTGATCTGGTGAAGACGTATCCGCACGACAGGAGGGCATTCACCCAGGCATGTTCCTGTCAGGCTCCCTTTCTTTCTACTCACTACTCTTCCCATTCTGGTCAAGGCGTACCCGCACAACCGCGAGCCTTTACTCAGGCATGTTCGTGTCAGCCTCGTTTGCCTTCCCTCCCTCTCCTCCTGCAGCCCATTCCCGGCCATCTGCTGTCGCCCATGCTCTGGAGGACTGCCACCCTGCCCCCTCTCTCCCCCCCTCCTCCCCTCTCAGGGTCTGCTGCATGCAATCCCGTTTATCTGCTGGAAACGTGCACTGTGGACCCTCTCAGGGTCTGCACCATGAGGCGAGAGGGGAAGGTGGGGTGGCGGGGGGGTCCTTTCCTTTTCCGCTCTGCAAGCAATCCTGCTCATCTGCTGCCGCCCATACTTCCTCCCTTCTCTTCTCCTTCCCTCCCTCCTTTCCCCAGGGTCTGTTGTACGTGGACCATGAAGCGAGTGGGGGGAGGGGGAGTGGCGAGGGGGTGTTCTATGAGAGCACGGGGGAGTATGGACGGGTGAGTCTGGGCGGTGGAGAATGTGGGGGTGCGTGGGATGCGTGTGTGTGAGTGGGGATTCACACATGTGGTTGGGCCACCAGGGATTAACTGATCCCCTATGCGCTTGCAGGATCACCATATTCTGCACTCCCTTGATCTTTCAGTCTGCAATCCACCCATCCGGCCTCGTCGTCTAGTTTCCCGTATCTCCTGTTTTCACCTTGACCCTGTCCCTGCTTGCCTGTATCACCGCTTGAACGCATTCCCCTGTGCTTCTGTTTCCCTACTGCTCCCATGCTTGCCTGTATCACCGCTTGAACGCATTCCCCTGTGCTTCTGTTTCCCTACTGCTCCCATGCTTGCCGCTGTGCCATGTGCCCCACGCAGTCGACAGTGAGGGAGGTGGATGTGGCCACTGGTGAGGTATGCTGCATGCCATAGCATGGCATGGCATGGCATGTTGTGGAATGGCATGGAATGGCGTGGTATGGCATGGCATGGTGTGGAATGGCGTGGCATGGTGTGGCAGTACATTGCTGCAGCCATGTTGCGATGTTGCTGTGCCATCATTAGGCATGACAAGGCATGATTAGCCGTCCCGTCACATGTCATCATATAGCAGCGTATGGCATTTTGCAGCAAGAACGTCCCTCACCCCGTACGGCATGGCAGGGGCAGTGGAGGGACATCACAGCTGGTTTGGCGTGTCAAACCCTCATGATGCCACACCCTCCACTGCCCCTCTCCCTCTCCACGTTCCATCCCTCCCCAGTGTCAAATGGCTAGCACCTCATACTTTTTCTCCCTTTCGTTGCTCCCCTGTCCCATCCCTCGCACCCCCTCTTGTGTCTTCTTCAGGTTCTCAACAGTGTGCCTCAGAATGCTGACGTTTTTGGCGAGGGCCTCGCACTGCATAACAACAGGTACAGCGGCGCAGCGCAGAAAGGCAGGAGCAAGGCTTGGGTGAGAGAAATGTAGAATGGCAGTGGAAAACTCCACTCTGAACGCCTCTGAACCGCACCAAACACCTCGAATTCCCTGAAAACCATGCTGTATGAGCAAGGATTTATCAGCTGGTTTGGCGTATGAGGTCACGCCTGGGGTGCGACAGAGAGACGCCTTTGAGATCCCCCTGTACCCCTCATTACCCCGTTAAACTCTGTGATTCCCCTTAACACCTCACTGTGCCCCTCTGAACCGCACAGGCTGTACCAGCTGGCATGGCGGGTGCGGTCAGGCCTGGTGTACGACAGAGAGACCCTGCAGCCTCAGGGTGAGTGAAATGGGGGAAGGGGAAGGGGAGGGGGAGTGGAGAGTGGGGGGTGTGATACTTGTGGCGAGTGGGTAGTGTACCTTTTTTGTATGTGAGCCACCACATGCTGATCAACACTCTGCCATGCCATGCCATGCCATGCCATGCTATGCCATGCCATGCCATGCCATGTTGCACTACGAAGTGCCATGCCATCTCATGCCATACTATGTTGGTATCCCGTTCGTCCCGTTCCTTCTCATCTCACCTCCTCTTCTGTTTCTCCCCCCGCTGCTTCCAGGCAGCTTCCAGCATGGCATGGCGGACGGGTGGGGCCTGGCAGTGCTAAACGAGTCAGTCATGGTCGGCACCGACGGCTCCTCCACTCTCTTCCACCTCCATTCATCATCCTTCAAAGGTGAGATCAGACAGGATTTAAGCAGCCTCAAAGAACAAGTGGGGCAACTTCGGAGGTGCTGCAAGACTCGGGATAGGTGGAGGCTAGCAGTGCTCAACGAGTCGGTCATGGTCGGCTCGGCACTGATGGCTCCTCCACTCTCTTCCACCTCCACTCCTCGTCTTTCAAAGGTGAGATGAGAGCAGCTTTCAGCCGCCTCACAAGTTTGGAGGCGAGTTGTGAGGTGCCTCATAACTCGGACGGGCGGGGCCTGGCAGTGCTCAACGAGTCGGTCATGGTCGGCACCTCCACTCTCTTCCACCTCCACTCCTCGTCTTTCAAAGGTGACTTTTGAGTCGACTCAGAAGCGGCTTCCAGCACGGCATGGCGGGTGGATGGACCCTAGCAGTGTTCACCGGGCCAGTCATGGTCGGCTCCTCCACTCTCTTCCACCTCCACTCATCATCTTTCAAAGGTCGCTCCTAGTCTTCCGTCTGCACCCCTCTTCCTTGAAAGGTTTCTTTCAGTCACTCGAGGGTCCCCATTTGAGACGTCCCCATTTGAGACGTCCCCATTTGAGACGTCCCCATTTGAGACGTCCCCATTTGAGACGTCCCCATTTGAGACGTCCCCATTTGAGACGTCCCCATTTGAGACGTCCCCATTTGAGACGTCCCCATTTGAGACGTCCCCATTTGAGACGTCTCTTCTAATCTCTTTTCCATCTCCTACCTCTCATCCTTCAAAGCTTGGCCCTTACTCCCCTCACATCTCCCCCGCTGTCTCAGCCGTGGTGCGCATAGCAGTGAAGGACGCCAAGAGGAGCATCCCGAACCTGAACGAGGTGGAGGTGGTGGGGGGCTGGTGTAGGCCAACGTGTTCCCCTTTCCCCTTCCTCTTTCCCCTTCCCTTTTCCCCTTCCTCCCTCCCCTTTCCCCCTCACTCTCCCCCCTACCCATCTCGTCCCCTTCCCTCGACTGTCTCCCTCATTCCACCAAAAGCACGAGTGACAGTGAAGGATGGCAAGAGGAGCATCCCGAACCTGAACGAGCTGGAGGTGGTGGGGGGGCTTGTGTGGGCCAACGTGTGGCCGAAGGTTCCCCCTGCTCCCCTCCTCTTCTTCACCCCCCTCCGTCTCCCCCACTCCATTCCAGCCGTGGCACGCGTGACAGTAAAGGACGGCAAGAGGAGCATACCGAATTTAAACGAGCTGGAGGTGGTGGGGGGGCTGGTGTGGGCCAACGTGTGGCTCTCCAACTGCATAGCTGCCATCCACCCCGACTCTGGTCGAGTGCTCGCATGGCTGGACCTCTCCTCCCTGCAGTGAGTCGGTGTTTGCACCCCTCCAGTGAGTTGGTGTGTCATTAGGCTGTCAACACAGCGTTCCCCTCGCAACGTGTGGCTCTCCAACTGCATCGCCGCCATACACCCCGACTCCGGCCGAGTGCTCGCATAGCTGGACCTCTCCTCCCTGCAGTGAGTTGGGTGTGGGTGTGAGTTGGGTGTGGGTGTGAATTGTGTGTGGATGTGAGTTGGGTGTGGGTGTGAGTTGGGTGTGGGTGTGAGTTGGGTGTGGCTCCCTGCTGGCACAAGTCGGCCTCCCTGCTGTGTAGCTGCCGCTCGAGCTGTGTTGGATGAAGGAGGCCAACGAGTGCCACTCACTTGCTTCCTGCCACTTGCTCCCTATGTGGCATGCTAGTTCGTGTCGTGCAGTGGCTGTACGATGCTTGCAGTTGCAGTTGCAGTGCAGGCATCCCACACAAATCCCCATGTGCTCTACTGCTCCCCTGCACCCATGCCTCCGCCCATCCCTGCAGGCGGCAAGCCGCTGCAAGATCAAAGGAGCTCAATGCACGTGTAAGTGGGAGTGGTAGCATTCTCTGAAAGGCTCTCTGCTCCATGAAATGAATGAATGAGAGAGCCTGGAAAGCTTGTAAGTGGGAGTGGTAGCGTTCTCTGAAAGGCTCTCTGCTCCATGAAATGAATGAATGAGAGAGCCTGGAAAGCTTGTAAGTGGGAGTGGTAGCGTTCTCTGAAAGGCTCTCTGCTCCATGAAATGAATGAATGAGAGAGCCTGGAAAGCTTGTAAGTGGGAGTGGTAGCGTTCTCTGAAAGGCTCTCTGCTCCATGAAATGAATGAATGAGAGAGCCTGGAAAGCTTGTAAGTGGGAGTGGTAGCGTTCTCTGAAAGGCTCTCTGCTCCATGAAATGAATGAATGAGAGAGCCTGGAAAGCTTGTAAGTGGGAGTGGTGGCGTTCTCTGAAAGGCTCTCTGCTCCATGAAATGAACGAATGAGAGAGCCTGGAAAGCTTGTAAGTGGGAGTGGTAGCGTTCTCTGAAAGGCTCTCTGCTCCATGAAATGAATGAATGAGAGAGCCTGGAAAGCTTGTAAGCTAAAGCGTCTTCGAGAGCCAGATTGAACAAAATCGTCAAAGGAACTCAATGCACGTGTAAGTGGGAGTGGTAGCGTTCTCTGAAAGGCTCTCTGCTCCATGAAATGAATGAATGAGAGAGCCTGGAAAGCTTGTAAGTGGGAGTGGTAGCGTTCTCTGAAAGGCTCTCTGCTCCATGAAATGAATGAATGAGAGAGCCTGGAAAGCTTGTAAGTGGGAGTGGTAGCGTTCTCTGGAAGGCTCTCTGCTCCATGAAATGAATGAATGAGAGAGCCTGGAAAGCTTGTAAGTGGGAGTGGTAGCATTCTCTGAAAGGCTCTCTGCTCCATGAAATGAATGAATGAGAGAGCCTGGAAAGCTTGTAAGTGGGAGTGGTAGCATTCTCTGAAAGGCTCTCTTCTCCATGAAATGAATGAATGAGAGAGCCTGGAAAGCTTGTAAGTGGGAGTGGTAGCATTCTCTGAAAGGCTCTCTGCTCCATGAAATGAATGAATGAGAGAGCCTGGAAAGCTTGTAAGTGGGAGTGGTAGCGTTCTCTGAAAGGCTCTCTGCTCCGGTGGTGTCTAGGTTACACGTTTCAGTATCCTTGGGTCGTTTTTGAGGCGCCTCAAAAACGTTTCAGTGTCCTTGGGTCGTTTTTGAGGCGCCTCAAAAACGTTTCAGTATCCTTGGGTCCGACCAAGATGAAGTGTATACGGCATGAGTCGTATGGTGTGGGCAGAGCAGATGCACAATGGTGCATTTTTTAGTCAACTCAAAAGTCAAGTCGTATGGTGTGGCCAAGACGAAGTGTACACGGCATGAGTCGTATGGTGTGGGCAGATGCACATTGGTGCATGGGGGATCGCATGCGTGAAGAGTCGTGTATAAAGTGAATTTTTGAGACGTCTACAAATTTCACTTTAGACACGATGCATGAGAGATCATTCCTTACATGAAGGATTTTATGGATGACAATCTGACGCTCCTGTCTGGCTGCTGTGTTGCCTCTCTCAGGAATTTGACGTGTTGAACGGGATCGCATGGGACTCCAAACACAACCGCCTTTTCGGTAAGTAGAAAGGTTTACGAAGTGGCGATTGTGTTTGTATCTATCTCCTCCCCACCCCATTCTCTCTCCCACCCACCTCTCCCCTCCCCCACCTCCACCCGGTCGGTCCCCCTCTCTGAGCTGCTCTTGCTTTGCTGACATCCACCCTGTTTTGCCTCTTCTGTCATTTGCAGTGACGGGAAAGTATTGGCCACTAATGTTCCAGGTCACGCCAAGACTAGCCCCTCTAAAAGCTACTCCAAAAGAGCAAGCTGCGGAGTTGAAGCAAATTAGAAAGGTGTGTCAGCCTGCAAGACAATATTTCACATAGACTGGCTGTCGGTCAGAACTCTAGGTATGCAGCCTCTAAATATGTAAACATATCAGGCGTCTCTTCAGGTCCCTTGTGTACGGTACGCTTCACTTTTTATTGTTGCACTGCCAATTTCTCAAGCGCCTGGAAGACCCATCTACTGGTGCGCTTCACGGAGGACTACCCTATCATCATCATGTAGTACCATCGTGAAGAGTGCCGTGTTATGTGCACCACCAGGTACAGGAAGGAGCCTGTAGCATTGCATGTATGGTGGTGCACCTTGAAGCGAATCAAGTAGCAAGCCATTCTGCTGTCACCCCAGGTGGTGTGGTAGTACAGCTGATGCCCACCCCATGCACGCGAATTTGCTCTGCACCGGATGGAAACGCTGCACCCGAGGTTTTTTCCCCAGCCTGTTGCACCCACGTTACAAGCGCGTCGCGTGGTTATGAACCAATAGTAACGAACAGACCGAAGTCAAACTGAAGAGACTGAAGTCAAAACGTCAACGGATAAGGTTACAGATCCTTTATATAAGCACCTGCGAGTCCTTTTTAGCTAGCTGCGAATTGACGAAACTTATGCGAACTGCTCGATACAGCTTATACGCCCCCTTCACAAGGCAACCGGGAGGGGCTCAATCAGGCATCAGGTGTACTCTCTCCAACAAGGTGGTACTTCAAAGCCCTCATTCCTCAGCTAACACCTCCCCCTACTGCTTTTATCATCAATAATAATGGCATTAATATACAGAGAGGAGGCACGGAAACAGATCCTATCAGAGGCAAGGCGTACAGGTCATGGCACCAGCACTCTTGTCGTACCGGGCCTGCCGGCCTGCCGAGCCTGCCAGCTCAGCAGGCAAAATTGGTTTGGTGACCAACATCCCCTAGCCTAGTGATCAGCTCCCATACCTACACCACCACCGTCGAACATGCTGCAGCGCAATGGTTCCCATGCGTCTGTTACAGGTCAGCTTCTGTCTGCTCCCATCCATCTCCTCCTCCTCCACCCGCTCCCCTCGCAAGTCCCCCCTCCCTCCCCCCCCTGTCCGACCATGATCCTGCTTCTTCCCCTTCCTCAACGTCACCTCTCTCCGTCCAACCCACTCCACCCTACTGCACCCCGCCGCGCCTATCTCTCTGTGCGCGCCGCTTCCGCGGGCAGCAGCAGCAGCGGGTCAACAGGCGACCCGTGCCGGTGAATCTCGAAGTGCAGGTGCGGACCCGTCGAGTGCCCCGTGTTTCCCGACAGCGCGATCGCCTGCCCCTTCCCCACCGCCTCCCCCTTCCGCGCCACGAATCGATTACAGTGCGCATATAGTGTTGAATACCCCTTTCCGTGATCTACCATCACGACATATCCGTACCCCTTCCGCCATCCCGCGAACGAGATTCGCCCCGCCTGCGCCGCGACCACCGGCGTGTTCTCCTCGACGGCTATATCGATCCCCTTGTGGAATTTCTTGCGCGCCTCGCGCCACCCGTAGCGCGACGACAGCCACCCGCCGGAGACAGGGAGACCGAACGGCCCCACCGTCGCCGCGATCCGGCTCCGCTGCGCGAAGATCCCGCCGGGTACAGCGGGGAACTCGGACGCGGAGGCGGCGGCGGCAGCCGACGCCAGCGGGTCGCCTCGATGGCCGAGCCGCAGCGACGCGGGTTCGATAGCCGCGGTCGCCAGGGTGTTAAGCGCCGCCGACGCAGCGGCCGCCGCGCGTTGCGGCGCGGCGAGGATATGACCGTCCATGTTAACGGACTGGACATGGATTAGGGCCCAAGTTGAAAAGGCAGGGACAAGAGGTGAGACAAAGAACCGGGACAAGCCAGGGATCTTGACGAAAATTGGGGACAATGCAACCAGAAATAAAAGGACGAGAGTGTTTGTAGGGGAAAATGAGTAGGGTTTGGAGACAGTGACAGCACAGAATCAGCCTTCGCAGTGATTACACGCGCTCGGGCGAAAAGGATCGGGTTAGGGTGACAGCAGGGCCGCTTACAGGTGGCAACAGCGCCGCAAATTGCTCCTTGCTGAGGTCCCTCTCCAGCCCCAGCGCGTGCGACACGATGCGACTCGTCAGGGTCGCCACCCCTCGACTTAGTCGTCCGTGCGCCGCTGCCACTGCAAGTCAAAGAGAAGCGGGGAAAACGCGCGTTGAGTGGGGGAAGAACTGGCGATAATAATGGCACGTGGCAGTAGAGGAGTAATACGAAGGGAGAGGGTTCAAATTTTGGAGAATAAAAACGGTAACTTACGCTGGCGTAGGGGTTCGCCTTGCGCTCTCGTTAGAAGCTGCGTCGCCGCAGCGGATAAAGCCGCCTGCGGGTCCTGTGAGAAGAGAGCGAGGCAAGATCGTGAAGGGGAATGGATATGCCGGTTGCGATACGGCAAGAGCAGGGATCAGCACAATATGGAAATCAATGGTTCATCAGACAAAGGATTTGAAACAGTAGAGACTGGTTCAGGGTGGGACCTCACCTTTAACGACGACGCGAGCTTCGTCTGCTTCTCGAGCGCCGTCAGTCGTCCATGCACGAAGCTCGCTGCTCCCGCAACCAGCCGGTGTCCTCTAAGTCGCGTCTCTACACTCTCGAAGCTCGTCTGATTCCCTATCGACAAGTTTCTAAATCTACTAGCTATTCTACTCGTGGCGATCACCGCCGGCTCGACGAGCAGATCGAGGCTCGAGGGATTGGGCGGCCATTGGAACACGAGAACCGGTTTCCATCGCACCTGCTTCACGCGACACACCACCGTGATCTCGCCGCTACGACCAATCACGAAGCTCGACCGCGCCTGCTCGTGCGGGTACCGCACGCAGACGTCGATCGCGGGCTCCGCGGCGCCCTCGCTCCTTCTGCATGCGCGGAGCGTGATCGGCGCCGCGTCGTGCCTCGGCGACGATATCTGGTACGAAGTCGACATGCTGTGAGAAATGCTAAATACGATTCCCGCAAATGTGCTGGAAAGCAAAAACAATACCCAAAAAAAAAAAAAAAAAAAAAAAAAAAAAAAACAGAACGAACGAAAAATCTAGCAGAGAAGGCAAATGTTAGAGAAACAGTAGTCAATGGATAGCCTACAGATCAGTGACTGAACTTTCTGCAATATATGGGAGCGTGGTAGGCGGCTAGATATGTGGCACTGAAATAGCGCCACTGATGGTAGTGGCTTACTTTATGATGGGGAATGGATGTTGGGATTCGGGAAGTGGGTGATGGCGCGACGATTCGAAGTGAATGTCGCATGATTCGCATGCGCCGTATGGCAGGCAACATATGATCGCACGGGTGGTTCGGCAGCACAACAACTCCGCGCAGTTTTGAAATCACGAACCTGCAGAGGCTGAAAATGGCGGGAAAGGTATGATTGGTTATGTTGTGTTGTGAGCAGCATCACATGGTCGACAGACAGCTTTGGCGGCTATACGGTGACTACGCCAGCCATGAACGCTAGGTTTGGTAGCCAGTTGGTTCGGATGGATGAGATGAATTGATGGCTTTCAAGCCGCATCTAGGGATCGGCGGACGAATAAAAATGGCCGGCGGACGCAGATCTGCCCGAGTTGTCAGAAAGTGAACCCCGACACGTGTAACGACCTTTCCTCTCCCGCGTTTACCGGGCAGGTGCCAGGTTTGGGGGCTATTAAAAATTTTGCAAATATTTCGGGCGGCCGTAGTGTCTCTCCATATTTTTTCAAGCATTCAAATGGAAGTTGAATCATTGTAAATCGAGGACTCACAACTTAGAAGAATCTCGTCAATGTGGAGGGGGTGGACGACGTGGAAGGCCACAGGAGTCTCCGCGTCACCACGACGACAATCTCCATCATCAGTTTGTCCAGCGTGTCCCTCCCGTGCTTCTATGTACTGCCACAGCAGCTTACTGCAGCACTGTCATTCCACCTCAGCCCGCACCCCAAGACACTGCCCCTTTCCACAAGCATCAAATTCCTCCCCCACCCCCTCCTTCCTGACACCTGACTTCAGCAAATTCACCTTCACACTCGAGCTTCCCGTAGCTTTCCTAACTTTCGGCCGCCATGTTGACGCTTCCTGTCGCCTCCGTCGAAACCTGCGCGTCCTTCGCCACCTCTCTCGCCACCAACGCCCGTAGCACCGCTGCTCGTCGCCTCGGCTCGGCGAATTTCCTGGGCGGGCATAAAGTCCTGCTCGCAGCCACCGCTGTGCCAGTCACGTCCGTGAAGTCTTCTAGGGTTCGTCTCGCACTCCCTCTCCTCTTTTCGCTCGTCGCAACGTTACCTATCGCCAGCTCCGAGCTGGTTCTGCAGGAGGTGAATTCCCTTTTTTGTTGCAGTCTCCGCATGTGAATTTCTGGGTTCTTACCTGGGAACGAGTGGAATTCCTGTCAAGCTCAGCTTCTTTTCATTCTCTGCGTTTTCCCCATCTCGACTCCCTCAGCCGGTCACCACGGAATCTCTTTTCTCCTTTGCCGGGTGGGGCAAGCCAGCAGCACCTATGGCGGCGGCAGGAGTGGCGCAGGAGCCGGACACGGACAACCCCGGCGCGGGGCTGCAGTTCGCCGAGTTCGGCGCGGGCTGCTTCTGGGGTGTCGAGCTCGCATTCCAGCGGGTCCCCGGTGTTGTCAAGTAAGTGGTTGACGGTATCGCAGATGACGTCCATGTTCTCGCAGGGTGTTTTAAGATTATGACGAAATTATCAAGGTTGTATCGCTGTGCATCTGTAGCGATCCTTATTTGCATCTCAAGCTCACGTCTCTAGCGTGGTTACTGAGAGTAATTGCATGGTTCCGAGCTCCTGTGAATGACTGGCATCGTTGTTTCCTCTCTACGCGTGCAGGACGGAGGTTGGATACACGCAAGGCATCAATGACAAGCCCACATACGAGCAGGTAAGTGCGTTTAATTTGGAATTTCTCTCCATGTTGAGATGTAAGGAACTTGGTGGCTGGGAGAAAGCTTAACTTCTTGGTGAGCCAAGCGAATTGAAGCACTATAACTAACAATCTACGCTCTGGACTCGTGCGTGATTACGTGGATGGCATCTGAATTGGTTCGGCGTTTCCACCTTTCCTCATGTCCACCAGGTGTGCTCTGGGCGCACAGGCCACGTGGAGGCGGTGAGAGTGGTGTATGATCCCAAGGAGGTGTCCTACGAGGGGTTGCTAGATGTGTTCTGGGGCAGGCACGACCCCACCACTCTCAACCGCCAGGGAGGTGACGTTGGCACACAGTACCGCTCAGGGATTTACGTCTTCTCACCTGAGCAAGAGGAAATTGCGAAGAAGTCTCTGGAGGCGAGACAGGCTCAGATTGGTAGGAAGATCGTGACGGAGATTATGCCTGCAAAAAAGTGGTATCCTGCTGAGAGCTACCATCAACAGTATCTTGCCAAGGGTGGAAGGTTTGGCATGGGGCAATCAGCGGCCAAGGGTTGCACAGATCCCATCAGGTGCTATGGCTAAGTTGAGTGAGCAGTGTCTAGATGTAATATATAATGGAGTAATTAGTCTACATTGCAGATTCTTATTGTGCTGTTCTGGATGCAGTTATACAGGTCGTCCTTAATTCTAGTATGTGTTCAGTAAAATGTTTTTAAAATGAGCAGAATCGAATTCAGGCATATGTTGAAACCCCCTTTGTAAGAGCTATAATTGGATGGATGTGATCGAATAATTTATAGTTATTATACTGCACCTATGCCAACGCCCAGGTGATTTGTAATGAGATATTCAGTTCATTTGTTATCGGGTATGACATGTTTTCTGACCAGCTCCGTTCGCGCCTGCCTCCACTCGTTTCGCGCCAAAGCTCGTCCGCGAACCAGTATGCTAGCTTCGTGCGGCAATCCCAGAGCTTCTTCAAGCTATTTCTTGTACCCGCGAGGTTCGGAAACTCCTCAGCATCCCTTTTGTCAGTCGGTTGTCCACCCTGTCTGTCTCCCTCTGGTCCCCAGGTCCCCTTGACTGCGTTTTCGAGGATGGTTCAACTGCACGACTGGGATTTCAGATTCCGGGACGCTTTTCCAGATTCTGTGCAGGTTCTCTGGACTCTTTTCTCCTACCACGACACCTTCTGCCGTGGGGGATGAGTTATACGCGTTAGCTGTCAGAACGTATTAGCCTTTTAATTGTGCATCGTAGTAGCCGCGCTGCGTGACGAGAATCAGGGCCTACTCGTGCATGACGCAGTTACTGGTCCAAATGCAAGTCCGTGCGTCGCTGTAACAGAACGTTGGTGCAGTTCGAAGTCGTAGTTTGACTGGGATAAGTAGCCTGGCGAGAGGATAGGACTCGGGCAGATTCAAGTTCACGACGTTAGGCGGGTACGATGCAATCCGCAACTGCGATTAGCCAGGTGGCAGCACCAGGTTGGTGCGCAGGTCTTGCCAAAGAGCCACCCAGAAGCCATGAGACGAGTAACGATCGCGTGTCGTCAGCTCGCCACGTGGAAGCCGCGCTGCTGCGCTCCTTACATTTGCCGGAGATTTTCCGAACCTTACAGCAACACACTCAGCCCCCGTTTGAGTCAACTTCATATGCATCACATCGCTCCGAATCTCGACCGTCCGCCATTAAAATGTCAGCAGTGCTAGCTCAATTAGCTCTCTTCCAATCAGAACCGACCAACGGCCACAGGCAGCCTAAGTATGGTCCACTTATGTTGGTCCAGGATCCAGCTACATCCAAATTCCATGTCCTACCGCCCCAGGCTACTGTAGCAGCACATACAGCCACGCCATGCCGCCCGCCGGAAGCACCTGTAGCTCTTGCCGACTCTGCTTCCGCTAGGGCCGCTTCTGGCGGCGCAGAAAGCGGGGGGGGAGGCGGAGCTAGCGACAATAAGTTCCTGCGGGTGTCGATCCAGTCCGTTGCGCTCGCGCTGGTGTTCGGCGGAGCGGCGGCGTTTCTCCGCATGCTGCTGTCCGCGCTCCCCCCGGACTTCCTGTCGCGCTGGAAAAAACTGTTTGCGGAGCAGCCGCACTTCGACCCTAAGGCCGCCGTCGAAGCGCGCCGAGCCACCGCCATCTACGACTGCCACGGCGACTTAATTGCCACCGTCGTTCCCGGCGGGTTCGGCGGGCGGCGGAAGGACGCGAGCAAGGGACAGGCGCCGTTGAAACCGACAGAGGTGCCGGCGGTGATGTGGCAGGCGGTTATTGCGACGGAGGACCGACGGTTCTTTGAACACCAGGGGTTCGATCCCAAGGGCCTGACACGTGCCATTATGTCATTGGCGCGCACGGGTGGCGGGAGTACGATCACGCAGCAGGTGAGAGGGAGGTTCGCTGGGAGGGCGGACGGGGTGGGCGGGAGGTGGATGCGGACGGGAAATGCGGTTAGGTGAACATTTGAGCTCCTGTTGAACGAGGTGAAGAGTGGAAGGTAGACGGTGGTGGGTGTGGCGCGCAAGCGCTTCTTTCCGCACGCCAATGCTACTTGCCTTGGGCCTTCACTCGTCGTATCCCACCCCCACCTCCTTCCCCACTCTGCACATCTTCCCTCCTCAGCTGGTAACGAACGTGTGTCTGGCGAATGAGCAATGCCGAACTCACTCCTCCAGCCCTTGTTCCTCCCAACCCTTGCTCCTCCTCAACCTCCCTGCCCTCCGTTTCTTTCCCCGTTCAGCTGGTGAAGAACGTGTTTCTGTCGAATGAGCGGCGGTGGACGCGCAAGCTGGTGGAGATTATACTGGCCGTGATTATAGAGAGGCGCATGACCAAGTGGGACATCCTGCACCTCTACCTCAATAAGGTCAGCCTCCTTATAAGAGCATTCCTTACTGTGGCCTGGTTTGGAAGCACACTGCGTGTCTGCTCTCTGTAAGCTGTGTGATACCTGTTGCCCCCGCCTTCAGGTCTGCTGGGGATGTGGTGTGATGGGGCTGGAGTCTCACTGTTCCTCTGCTCTCTGCTCTCTGCTCTCTGCTGCCTGTCCGTCTGTTGTCTGTCCCATTCCTGCCTATCTCTCTGCCTGTTGTCTCGCCCCTGCAGATCTACTGGGGCCACGGGGTGACGGGGCTGGAGGCGGCATCGGCGCTCTACTTTGGCAAGCACCCATCGCTGCTCACGCTGGGCGAGTGCGCCATGCTCGCTGGTATCATTCCCGCGCCAGAGCTGCTCTCGCCCTACCGTGATCCTTCCAGGTACCGCCTCACAGGATGTGACCTGCCCCTGCAGGTACGACCTACCCACAAGCTCCTGTTGTTGCTCGCCTGCATGGTAAGCGCTCCAGGTGTGACCTGCCCCTTCATAGGTCGCATTCCTCTGAACCACGGCCTGCTCTTGCGCTCTGCCATGCACGGCATTCGTAAGGCCTCAGTAACGGACGCCCCCGTTTCTCCTTCACTCCCCCTGCCCGCCCCTGCAGGGGGCGCAAGCCCCAGGCGCGGGCGCTGAGGCGCATGGTGGAGGCGGGGTTTCTGGACATCACCACGGCCACGGAGGCCATGCAGCAGCCGCTAAGGCTGGGGTCTGAGGCCAAGCACGGCACGTCCGGGCCCTGGCGAGCTCCCTTCTTTGTCAGCGAGGTGAGGGGTGTGCTGAGGAGGTGAGGGAGGGGGAGGGGGATTGCAGCAGCCGCTGCGCCTGGGATCCGAGGCCAAGCATGGCACGTCTGGGCCGTTGCGAGCTCCCTTCTTTGTCAGCGAGGTGCGTCGCAGGGGAACGGACTGTTGAGGAGGTCGGGGAGAAGGGAGAGGGGGAGGTCAGGGCATTGCAGCAGTTGCTGCAGCTGGGGTCCGAGGCCAAGCATGGGGCGTGTGGGCCGTGGCGAGCGCGCTTCTCCGTCAGCGAGTTGCGTTGCAGGGAAAGGTGATGGTGATGGTGAGGAGGCGGGGAGGAGCGAGAGGGCGGGTGCGTGCAGGTTGTGGTGGGAGATGCAGGATGCGATGGGGGGAAAAGACGGTGGGCAACGGGACGTGCGATTGATGAACCCTTCTGACTGGGCTGAAGTCTGCTCTGTCTCTCTCCCTCCCCTGCTCCCTTACCCCCCCCCCCCAACTCTCCACGCCCCTCCTCCCCCCTTTCCTCCCGTTCCTCCACGCTCGCTCGCCCCCTTTCCCACTCCCCTCCCAGGTGCTGTACGAGCTAGCACAGAAGTACGGGCGCGAGGAGGTGGTGAGGGGCGGGCTGCAGGTGCACACGACGCTAGACCTGACTATGCAGGACGCGGGCGAGAAGGTGGTGGGGGACGGCACGCGCGAGTACGACCAGGAGAGGGAGGCGGCGGCACAGAGGGACATTGCTGCGATTGCCATGAAGCTGGAGGAGTTGAGGGGTAGGAGGCAGCAGCAGATTCTGGCTACCGTGGCTGCTGCTGCTGTCAAGAGGTGCGTTGCGGTGAGGGAGGGAGAGGAGTGGGAGAGGAATGAGAGAGAAATGGAATAGGGGGGAAGCAGTGGGTGGGAGAGAAGGGAGTGAGTGAGACGATAGAGGGAAGAGGGATTGGAGGGGGGGCTGTGGATTGAGGATAAAAGCCTTTTTGTTGCATGTGTTCTGCCATGCATCGTCTCACTCGTGTGTTTCACCATGTGCCTGTACATGCGTCACACGTGCCCCTCACACGTGCCCCTCACACGTGCCCCTCACATGCGTCCACATGCAGGTCAGCAGAGTTCCGCAAGAAGAACGGCCAGACACAAAAGACGTGAGTCCTCTCCCGCTCAACGCTCTGTCGTCCAGCCCACCTCGCCCAGCCCACCTCACCCAGCCCACCTCACCCAGCCCACCTCGCCCAGCCTCTTTTTCTCGCCCCTTATACCCCTTCCTCTCACTTGCCCTCCGCCTGCTGCTCTCACCTCCCTCTTCTCCTCCCGCACCACTTTCAACTCCTTGCTCTTTTTAAGGCCCGCCAAGGGATTCTCTCGGTTTCACTTCCCTGTTGCTGACCTCTCTGCCGCCACCCGTCCATATCCGTTATGTCTCCACACCGCCATGCCTCTGAAACCATCGCTCCGCCATATTTCTGCCCCCCTTCCCCTTCCCTCTCCCCCCCAGCCTGTTGGGGGAGATGGCGGCAGAGTCTGTCCGTGTGTGCCTGCTTTCCCCCGTCGTCCATCTTTCCCCCTTTCCGTTCCTTCCCCCTGTTCCCCCCATTACCTACCTCACCCCTTCCCCCCCAGCGTGTCCGAGATGATGGCGGACGAGACAGCAGCAGTGGCACGCACCCTCGAGCGATTCGCAGCCTTGTGAGTGGGGGTTGGTGGCGCTGGGAGGGCAGGGGGGCGGGCGGGCGTGGAAAGGGATGGTTGTCTGTCTCTGCTGTGCTGTGCTGTGCTGTGCTGTGCAGCACTCTGCTGTGCTGTGATATGCATCACTCGCCTCCCAAACCCCAGGACCCCCCCAGGGGTTTCGCCTGTTCTCGCGTCCATTCCACCCTCTTTCTGATTGCTCTCCCTCTTTGGCTCTTTCCCTCCCCCATTCACCACAACAACGAGTCGTATTGGAGCCGTATTCTGAGATCCGAACCAATGGATTCTTAGTATGTTCTTTCCACTCCGCCCCCTCCCACATTACAAGGAGCGCACGCTGACTACTGCCATGCAGCGCTACGAGAGAGGTGGACTGGAGGCATATTCTGAGGTCCGCAGCAATGGATTCTCGTTGCCTCCTTTTCACTCCCCCCTCCTCCCGTCCCCCCAGGGAGCGCACGCTGACTACTGCCATGCAGCGCTACGAGAACGAGCTCAAGAACGCTCAGGCCGCCAGGTGCGGGAGGGGGGAGGGATGAGGGGAATGGGGGGGGATGAGGGGAATGGGGAGAGATGAGGGGAATGGGGAGGGACGAAGGGAGAGTGTGGATAGTGTGGGTGGGGGTGTGGGAAGAGGAGATGGGAGGAAAGGAGTTGGGAAGGGGTAACAAGGGATGGGAAGGGGTGGTGGGCACATTGGATTGCATCATTGTGTGTTGGCTGCGGTGAGGGTGCTGGTGGGGGGCCGTGCCTGCTGCTACGAGGGTTGTCCATCCCTTGAAAGGCGCTCGTGTGTTGCCACCTTCCCCTCTCGTCGGTGCATCGGTGCATCGCTGCACGGTGTGCAGGTTAGAAGGAGCCATGGTGGCAATGGACCCGCTCTCAGGTGCAGTGAGAGTGCTGGTGGGCGGCAGGGACTACTATGAGAGCTGCTTCAACCGTGCCACCCAGGCTCTCCGCCCCCCCGGGTCCACCTTCAAGCCCGTCGTCTACCTCACTGCGCTCGCCGAGGGCATGTGAGTGATGGTTAGGAATCGGTATTTGTTGGTTTTAGGGGTTCAGAGTTTTAAGGCTTTTGGGGAGTGTTGGGGTTGAGTGAACTTCCCCCCCCCCGGGCAGTTCCACCTTGTAGCTCATCGTGTACCTTGCTGGTCTGGTTGAACTTGGCACCAGAGACTATGTGCTGGTGGATGACCCTTATCAAGTGGGGGGGGAAGGTCATTGTTGGGGCAGCGGTATCTCCAACCTCCCCTTTCTTCGTCCCCACTCCACCCTCCAATTCGTCCCTCCCTTCCCTACCTCAGCACCAAGGACTATGTGCTAGTAGACGAGCCTTACGAGGTGGGGGGGTTCGCCCCGGAGAACTACGACCGCAAGTTCCCCTCTTGCTGCACTCCATGCCCTCACCCCGCTCCGCCCCGCTCTGCCCCTCCCCTTCCCCCTCTCTGCCCCTCCCCCTCCGCCCAGCACCAAGGACTATGTGTTGGTGGACGAGCCGTACGAGGTGGGGGGGTTCGCCCCGGAGAACTACGACCGCAAGTTCCGCGGGCCCGTCACCCTTGAAGAGTCGCTGCTCAAGTCGCTCAACGTGCCCACTGTGAAGCTGTGCGCTGAGATCGGCGTGGACAAGGTGAGGGATAGGAGAGTTGACGAGGTGAGGGATAGGAGAGTTGACGAGGTGTGTTGCGTGAAAGTGCTCATGCCAGCTGCTCGTAACTCCATCCACTGCTCAAGTCGCCTACCGCCAAGCTGTGCACTGAACTGGGCAACGTGTGCACTGAGCTGAGCTGGGCAACGTGTGCACTGAGCTGAGCTGGGCAACGTGTGCACTGAGCTGAGCTGGGCAACGTGTGCACTGAGCTGAGCTGGGCAACGTGTGCACTGAGCTGAGCTGGGCAACGTGTGCACTGAGCTGAGCTGGGCAACGTGTGCACTGAGCTGAGCTGGGCAACGTGTGCACTGAGCTGAGCTGGGCAACGTGTGCACTGAGCTGAGCTGGGCAACGTGTGCACTGAGCATTCTCAAAAGTGATTTCAATACTGAGCTGGGCAATGAGTGCACTGAGCTGGGCAATGAGTGCACTGAGCTGGGCAATGAGTGCACTGAGCTGGGCAATGAGTGCACTGAGCTGGGCAATGAGTGCACTGAGCTGGGCAATGAGTGCACTGAGCTGGGCAATGAGTGCACTGAGCTGGGCAATGAGTGCACTGAGCTGGGCAATGAGTGCACTGAGCTGGGCAATGAGTGCACTGAGCTGGGCAATGAGTGCACTGAGCTGGGCAATGAGTGCACTGAGCTGGGCAATGAGTGCACTGAGCTGGGCAATGAGTGCACTGAGCTGGGCAATGAGTGCACTGAGCTGGGCAATGAGTGCACTGAGCTGGGCAATGAGTGCACTGAGCTGGGCAATGAGTGCACTGAGCTGGGCAATTAGTGCACTGAGCTGGGCAATGAGTGCACTGAGCTGGGCAATGAGTGCACTGAGCTGGGCAATGAGTGCACTGAGCTGGGCAATGAGTGCACTGAGCTGGGCAATGAGTGCACTGAGCTGGGCAATGAGTGCATTGAGCTGGGCAATGAGTGCACTGAGCTGGGCAATGAGTGCACTGAGCTGGGCAATGTGTGGACTGAGCTGAGCTGGGCAATGTGTGCCTCCCCCTGTGTGTCTCCCCTCCCCCCTTCCCCCCTTCCCCCCTTCCCCTCCCCCTCCCCCCGTCAGGTGTGTCACATGGGGAGGGCACTGGGCATCAAGACGCCACTACCACACGAGCTGGCGCTCTCACTGGGGGGCTGCGAGGTTACGCCCCTGCAGCTCACCACCGTCTACTGCACGATCGCTGCAGGGGGGATCTATCACCGCCCGCACCTCATCACCCGCGTCGAGTCGTACAATGGAAGGGTGTTAGAAGAAGCTAAGGTGAGGAGCCCTCTTGCTGGCTAGCTGGACCGGTGGAGTCAAGAGGTGACGCCGCTGCAGCTCACCACCGTCTACTGTACGATCGCTGCAGGGAGGAATAGCATTGGCCACATTTGATTACACGAATTGACTCGTACAACGGAAGGGTGCTGGAAGAAGCACAGGTGGGTGGTGGAAGAAGCAAAGGTGGGTGCTGGACGTGGTATTTGACGAGGCGGCCATGTGCCGAGGCACCTAGCCATCAGTTGACTTTTGAGGCGCCTCAAAAGTGGGTGCTGGACGTGGTATTTGACGAGGCGGCCATGTGCCGAGGCACCTAGCCATCAGTTGACTTTTGAGGCGCCTCAAAAGTGGGTGCTGGACGTGGTATTTGACGAGGCGGCCATGTGCCGAGGCACCTAGCCATCAGTTGACTTTTGAGGCGCCTCAAAAGTGGGTGCTGGACGTGGTATTTGACGAGGCGGCCATGTGCCGAGGCACCTAGCCATCAGTTGACTTTTGAGGCGCCTCAAAAGTGGGTGCTGGACGTGGTATTTGACGAGGCGGCCATGTGCCGAGGCACCTAGCCATCAGTTGTCAAAGTCGTGCACCCCTCTCGTGCTGCCTCTCTAATCCTGCCCCCCCCCCCCCCCCCCCCCCCCCCCCCCCCCCCTGTCCAACCAGGTGTGCATGGAACGGAGGGACTCAGTGGTCAACTTTTGAGGCGCCTCAAGAGAACGGAGGGACCCTGTGGTGGACGAGGCAGCAGTGGGCGAGTTGAGGAAGCTGCTGCAAGCCATGGTGGAGAGGGGCACCGGCAAGGGGGCGTGCATGGACCGCCTCTCAAGCGCCTCGAAAGGCGCCTCAGGGGGGGTGGAAGGCCCTCCATCTCAAGGCGCGCACCCCTCTCGTGCCCTTCCACCCCCCCCTCTCTAACCAGGTGTGCATGGAACGGAGGGACCCTGTAGTTGATGAGGCAGCGGTGGGCGAGTTGAGGAAGCTGCTGCAAGCCGTGGTGGAGAGGGGCACCGGCAAGGGCGCTCGCATGGACCGGCCGTGCGCCGGCAAGACTGGCACGAGTGACGGGCACCGTGACTGCTGGTTTGCTGGATTCACCCCGCAGCTGGCGTGTGTGGTGAGTGGGAAGGGGTTGTAGCAAGGTGTGTGCGGTGGAGGTTGAGTGGTGGAGTGAGTGGGGGACCACCCATGCGCGGGCAAGACGGGCTCCTCTGACGACCACCACGACTGCTGGTGGGGGGGTGTGTACAATGTTGATACAATATTTTTTATGAGTAGCAGTAAAGAAGATAGGTTAACGCAATTGGATATCAGGAGTACGGGAACTCGATCTGTGCAGTATCAGGAGCACTGCACTGCTCTGTGCAGTGCAGTCGCACAACTCACTTGTGCTCATGGCCGCTGCAACCGCTAGTTTGCGAAAATTCATTCCGCAGCTGGCGTGTGTGGTAGGTGGCGCAGTCTGTAGCATCGGCTGAGTGGGAAGGTCTAAAAGAATCACTCGTGCCTCGCCCCCACTCTCCCTTGTCATGCCCATCCCTGTGCTGCCGGGTATGGCTGGGCTACAACGACAACGAGCGGGTGGGTGGGCTGCAACCCAGCACCAGCTCATCCCCTTCCTATCCGCCCTGACGCCTCTACCCTTGCCTCCTGCCCTCTCCTCCCCCCCAGGTATGGCTGGGCTACGACGACAACAAGCCGGTGAGTGGCCTTCACCCTGCCACGGGCTCACCTCCCTCTCACTCCTGCCCCGCACCACCCTGCCACTCCCTCACCACCCACCACCCATCCCCACCCCTCCTGCCCTCTCCTCCCAGCCAGGTGTGGCTGGGCTACGACGACAACAAGCCGGTGAGTGGCTTTTCAGGCTCACCTCCCTCTCACTCACGCCCTGCACCACCCTGCCACTGCCTCACCACCCTCCACCCATCCCCACCCCGTTTCCTCTTTGCCAGGTATGGCTGGGCTACGACGACAACTTGCCAGTGGGGGGTCTGCACCCCGGCACCGGCTCCAGCCACGCTGCACCGCTCTGGAGCCGCTTCATGACCCTCGCCCACGAAGGGCTGCCCGTGAAAAAAATCCTCGAACCTGCCCGGGACAGGTACAGCAGGGGGGCAGCTGGGAGGGAGTTTCAGAAGCGCAGCCGGCGGGCCCAGAAGGTGGGGTTGAGCGAGGTGAGGCGGAGGGAAGGGGGGAGGAGGAAGGGCGGGCGGGAGGTGGTGTGGAAGGACGTGTGGGACTGGGAGAAGGCGAGTAGTGGATGGCAGGAGAGGGAGAAGATGGAGGAGTGGGCGGCAGCGAGACGAGAGAGGGCTGAGGAGATTAGAGCGTTGAGGGCCAAGTGGGGATGGCTGCCGTTTGTGAAGGGGAATAAAGGGGCAGGAGGGGAGGGAGGAGGGGAGTCGCCGGGGAGAGGGTTGCTGGGGGACGAAGGGGAGGAGGTGGGGGAGGATGATTATGAAGATGCATTGCGGTTCTTTGAGCAGGCGAATCAGGAGGAGGGGCAGGGGGGGAGGAGGAGTGTGGAGAGGGGAGGGGAGAGGGGTGGAGAGAGGGAGGGGGGCGCAGGGAGGGTTGTTTCTGCAGCGGCAATGGCTGCTGCCAAGTGGGGTGCGGGGGGGAGAGGAGGGGGCGTGGAGAAGCGAGGGGGGAGTGGGAAGACTGGAGAAGAGAGGCAAGTGGACGAGGAGATGGGGAAGAGGTGGAGCGCGGAGGAGGGAGTGGAGGGGGATGAAGAGGAGGAAAGTGAGGTTTGTGCGAGGGATGGGGAGGGGGATGATGAGGATGGGTTGTGGGAGGAAGGGGAGGGAGAGGAGGAGGAGGAGGGGGATGAGGAGGAGGAAGAGCCAGAGGAGGTATTGGCTCGCATGCAGGAGAGGCTGGAGGAGCAGTTTGGGGTGCGACTGGTGGAGGCGGTATTTGAGACGCGAGGGGGGGACGGGGGCACGGGGGCAGGTTTCAAGGGGAGGGGGGACGGGCGTGCAGGGACAGCAGGAGTGGGGGGTGGAGAGAGAGGTGGGAGGGGAGAGGGCGGCGGAGCGGGTGAGGCGGCATTGTATCAGGGAGTGCCTGTGCCATCTGTGGCAGCAGCATCATCCTCACGGCCGCCTGCATTGGTGGAAGGATTGACTTGGAGTGAGCGAGTGGCATCAGCGCAGCAGCAACAGCTAGAGCAGGCAGCGACTAGAGCAGCAGCAGCAGGAGCAGCAGCAGCAGGAGCAGCAGCAGCAGGAGCAGCAGCAGCAACAGCAGCAGCAGCAACAGCAACAGCAGCAGCATCTAAAGACGCAGCTTCCAGTAGACCCCACCTCCTCAGGTGCAGCCAAACCTCAGCTTCCTTACACCGAACCTCAAGCGTCCCGTACCAAGCCTCAGGTGCCCCGGTTGGCCGCCGAAACCTCCCGTGCCGAGAACTGGACAGCGCCTGCAGCAGCAGCGGCGGCAGCAGAAGAGCAGAGAGAGGTGGTGAGTGCGAAGTTCTTCACAGCAGTGGATTCGGAATCTGCCGTGCTTGACATCTCTCCGCTGCAGCCGTGGCCTGAGAAACAGAGCGACGGGGCGGAGGGGGGAGGGGAGATGGAGGCGTGCTGCCCCATGCCCCCGTGCACGGGCCTGCTCCCTGCCTGCAGGGAGCCGTCACTGGAAGGGATAGCAGATGCTGAGAGGGGTGAGGTGGGTGAGAGGGAGCGTGAGGACGAGGAGGAGGAGAAGCGCCTGGGGTGGACTAAGCGGCTGTTTGTGAAGACGAGAGTCACGGCTCCGAGCGGCGCACCCCTGCCCCCGTCTTCGTCTGTATCTGCTGCCTACTCTGCCTATGCTACGTCTACTGCAACAGAAACATTAGGAAGTGGCTTGTCAGAGGAATATCCTGGGCATCGTCAGGTGTCTTCGCCTCCTCTCGTCCCATCCCCTTCCTCCTTGGGACCTCCGTTGTCATTAGCCCCCTCGGTGCAGCCCCCTTTGGTTGCCGACAGGTATGCCGCTGATGCTAGCAGTGTGCCTGACAGCTCAGCAGGCGTGTGGGGGAGTGCAGTGCCGTGGCGGCAGCAGAAAGGAGCTGGTATGGGGCCCGATGCTGCAAGGGATAGGCGAGCAGGTTCCCCTGCTTTGTTTGGAGGGTTTGGTGGAAGGAGCCGGACAGGTAGGACGTAGGTATAGCTTATATCGATAAATCAATTGAAATAGAATAGATCGAAAGAGGCCACTGTCTAACGACTCGGATGAAACAAAAGTCCATATTGAGAAGTGTTTGTGCTTCACTTGTCATGTTATAATTTGTAGATTATCCTGTCTGCTTGTAAGAGTGAACCGATGCGAACCGATGTGCAGTCAATATGCCCAGGGGATCCGCTGCTGCCCTGATACTTATGACGTTTTTTTACTGAACCTGGAAATGCCCCTCGCCCCACACACACGCGCGCGACGTGACGACACCAGGGGTCTTGATCAGGCCTGTCGAAGTCCCTGGGACCAAAACTTTGGGTCCTGAGGTGCTCGAAGTTTGGCCCTGATTTTCGCATAGGTCACCGTTTTTTAGCCCTTAACGATCACGGGCGCAGGTCAATTTCATAACTTGAGATCCGGGCCTCCTAAAATAATGTACGTGGAGCCCTAATGTCACAAAGGCGGGTGTCAACCTATAACTTAGCAGCGGGAAGGAGCACTCATCTGCATACCTAGCAAGGGGGGAGAGGGGTGGGAGAGGGGAGGAGGGGGGTCGTAGGGCAAAACATCTTCAGCAAAATTCGTGTGTACAATCGCAAAGGATTTCCAATGTGGTTCGTTCTCATGTGGTAGTACTGCCGTAGTACTAGTGTGGACCGATGGGGCTGAAACCCTTTTCGCCATGTAAGGGTGTCAGTGTCGCAAGTCCATTGTGAGTACTTAGAAATGTCTTGGAAATATTCTGCAACTACGGCCATAACATCAACATTAGAAAGTCATTTCTTATCGAAGTAGATAGTGCTACGATCAGAGAATGATCGCTGCCAGGATCTACTCAGGAAGGTTCGCACACAGGGAAATGTAGTTGGTGGGCCCGTGACCTCAATAGCAGAGTGAATGTAAAATGCTTGAGATGATTAAAACATGCAAATACAGCAAGTATAAATATGAGTACAGGGAAGACGAAACGACCTAGCTAGTCATGTACTCTAAGGGGTACATTCCCTTATTCAAATGCATTCCCAACCGTGCGGCGCGTACAGTTTCGTAACTGTTCCCGCCAAAAACATCCTGCCTGCAGCTGTTCGATGCCGTCTGCTTCCGACGGTCCAGATGCGCCCCAACTGTCTGACACTTGAGTCAAACTCCAACCGTCTGACGGTTCGCTTTCTTGCTTCGATACTGCGTGCTTCTCTTTGCTGCGGTGAGGAGTGCTCAGTAACAATTAAATGTTACTATTCGTAACACCCCCCTTCACTCCTGGCCGTAGCTCGATTTGACCTGCTTGACCACGCCGCTGAGTTCGGAGCAGTGCTGATACTGCTGGCGTGGCAGTCGCTTCGTGAGGAAGTCTGCTGCCATGTCACCGGTCGGGCAATAGGTCAAGTTGACCTTGCCTTTGTCCACTTCGTCCTTCACGAAGAAATATCGCAGCGCAATGTGCTTGGTGCGATTGACGAAACCAGGTTTGTTCGCGATGCGAATTGCGCTCTGGTTGTCGCAGTGAAGTCGAAAGGTTGGCGAAGCTGGAATTTTCGCCTCCTGCAGGAGTTCCTGTAGGTAGAGGCCTTCGCGAACTGCTGCGGTTGCTGCGATGAATTCTGCTTCGGCTGACGACAGGGCAACCAGCTCCTGCTTCTGTGAGTTCCAGGAGATTGGCCCCGTTGGTTCGAGTCGGAACAGGAAGCCGGTCCTGGACCGTCGATTGTCGGGATCTGCTGCATGATCGGCATCCACATAGCCGACGAGATTGAAGGATGGGGTTGGTGCAGTTGAGTAGCACAGCCCGATCTTGGGCGTTGAAACGAAAAATTGCAAAGCGCGCTGCAGGTCCAGGTGATTTTCAGCCGTTGGTTTCCGTGAGTGCTGGGCGAGCTGACTTGCGATGTAGGAGAGGTCTGGCCTGCAGGTGACAGAGGCGAAGAGAAGGCATCCCAGCTGCTGCTGGTAAGTCTGAATTCCAGCAGGGGATAGGGCTTTGTTGTCAGGTTTGTGGTTCGGTCCGGGGGTTCGATAGGGAGTCGAGAGAGGTGCGGGTGAAATCTTGAACCGCTTCCCTAACTCCTCTGCGTACTTAGCTGCTGACAGATGAATGGCTTCAGGCGCGTAGGAGATATTGAGGCCTAGGAACTGCTTCACCTCGTAGTTGCACGTGATGTCGACGCGCCCCGCCAAAGCCTTCTCGAACTGTTCGAGCAGCTCGTTGTTTGAGCCCGTGTAGAGCAAGTCGTCGACGTAGACCGTGAGGAGGATGTATTCCCCGCGGAAATCGCGGCGGTACATCCCTAGGTCGTGGGGCATCTGCTTGAACCCGATTTCAAGCAGGATGTTGTGCAAGTACTGCTGCCACAGTCTTGGAGCCTGCATGATGTCGTACAGTGACTTGCGCAGCTGACATACGCGCGAGTCACCTTCGCCATAGGTGTGTGGCTGCTCCACGTAAATCACAGCGTCCACTAACGCGTATAGGAACGCGTTTTTAACATCGATCTGGCGGAGTGGCAGGTGCCTTGCAGCTGCGATAGCGAGCAAGATGCGGACGGAGGTGTGGCGACTGACGGGGGCGAATGTCTGGTCGAAATCGATCCCATGCCTCTGGTCATAGCCGCGAACCACCCAGCGTGCTTTAAAGCGCTCAATCGTTCCGTCAGCTGCGGTCTTCACGCGGAAGACCCACTTCCCCGAAAGGATTCTTGCACCTTTGATTGCTGCGCGGTCAACGAGCACCCAGGTGTCGCGTGACTCCAGTGCCTTGATTTCCGCGTCCATTGCCTCACGCCATTCCTTGCTGTGTGGTCCAGAGAGGGCTTCGCGCGGGTTTCGGGGCTCGATGACGCGCGGCGCTTTCGAGGTTGCGGTGTGAAGTCCGAGCAGTTGTAGTCCTGAGACGGTACTGTCGTGGTGACGCTGCGGGACGACTTCCTGCACGTCATCATCGTCGCTCTCAGGTTCAGGTGGTGCTGATGGTGTTGCGCCTCCGCCGCTTCCGCCCGTTCCGCCTATTCCTCCTCCTGAGGAATCATCGTCGTTGTCGCTGCTGCGCCGATCTTCCCAAGTGAATTCGGCCCTGGTGTCCTGCTCTAGAAGTGCTGCAGCGGCTTCGTCTTCGGGCGTTGCGTAGCTGTGGCCGTTGTTCGCGTAAACGCGATCTGCATTCCTCTGCTCGTCGTCGCGGAACTGGTCGAGGAAGAGGCGCTCGTAGAAGATTACGTCGCGAGCGTGGGCGGTTTTCTGACTGAGGAGGTCCAGTACGATCCATGCTTTGTACTCGTGACTGATGCCGAGGTGAATTCCCCAGCGCGCGCGACTGGCGAATTTGCCGATGGTTGATGTTGGCGGGCGGTACTGCACCATGCACCCCCACACGCGGAGCATGGAGGTATCCCCCTTGGTCCCGGTCCATTTGACGTGCGGGGAGAGATTCCCGGTGATCGCGGTGGTTGAAAGCAGGTTGTGCACCCGCACGGCGTGGTGCATCGCGTAAGTCCAGTAGATCGGCGGCAGCTTCGACTGCTTCATCAGCGCCCGCACCTTCGTCATCAGTGTGCGATTCGTTCGCTCAGCTACGCCCTGCTGCTGGTGTGCGTAGGGGAGAGAGATGTGATGCTCGATCCCCTTTTGCGCCAGGTAAGTCTGCATCTGGTTGCTCCTGAACTCTGCTGCGCCGTCAGATTGCCAGATCTTTAGCTTCTTTCCAGATTGCCGCTCCGCATGCGCTAGCCAGAGCCGAAACACCTCGTAGGCTCTGTCGCGCGTCTCCACGTTCACGACCCACACGTAGCGTGTTCCAGCGTCAATGAAGGTGAGAGTGTATAGCTCGTCCTCGACTCCGCAATGCCCTACGTTCAGGAAATCGCTGTACACCTTGTGCAGTTTGGGGTAGCGGTTCGTCCCAGGTTCGTCCCAGGTTCGAGCAGCGGGAACGGTTGGTGGCTCAGCGCAGCTTCGGGGCAGACTGTGCAGTTGCGCGGATGCGTTGCGCCTCTCACTTCGGAGCCATCGGGGCGCAGGAGTGCGCCAGGAGCGAAGACGCCTGTGTCGATACAAGAAGGGTGTCCGAGGCGCTGGTGCCAGAGTGCATCGTCAGCGCGAAAGCCGGAGGTGCGCATGTAGCGCGCGCGGGCTTCCTCCGGGTCTTCATCAGGTACGGGAGCAGGTTTTGCTTCTGCTTCTTCTTCTTCTGCCGCGGTGGTCAGCATCAGCGCCAGGAACTCTCTGTCGCGAATCTCAGAGAGTGGGATGTTGGTCCCAGGGATGGTTCCAGGGACGAGGGTTGGTTCGCGTGGTTCGGGAGCCGGTCCGTAAGCGGTGCGACGCGGGGTTGACGGCTCGTTGCCCCAGGCGATGGTGTCCCATGGATCGCGGCGCGGTGGGTTATCAGGAGGAGGTAACGCGAGTGGGACATGGCGTGGGGGACGACCGAGGGGAACAACTGCAGACTCTCCAGCTTCTTCTTCTCCCCCCCTTTGGTCTTCGCGGGAAGTCCCCCAGCCTCTAGTAGGGGTGCCCCAGTTACTCGTGTCGGCGCCAGATGCGGCGCCCCATCCGCCGGTTGCGGTTGCCCAGGTTCCGCCTGTGTTGCCCCAGACGCCAGCCTCAGTCGTTCCTTGTCCGCCGACGCTTCCCCACCCCCCTTCATTGGCGGCGCCCCATGCGGCGCAAGCGAACGTTCCGCGTGCCTCGGTGAGGCTTTGTTGGCGAAGCTCCTCGGCTTCGCGGCGCGCCAGTTCTTCCTCCTGTTCCACGGTGAGTGGCGCCGTGGGATCGCGCCAGTGGGGGTAAATCTTCAGAAACTCTTCGCGGGTGTAAGGCCGCGCCACTCCGCGCGTGTCGAAGGTTCCGCGTCGTTGTCCACGTAGAATGCCTTCAAGGCGCTGAGAGGGTGGTCCAGCGTGGGGGCTTTGGTCGGTGCCGAACACACGCGGAGTGGTAACTTGCAGTTCGAGTTGCGACATCCCTTCTTCTGGCGGCGCGTGGCGTTCTGCTTC